GTTCCATCCTTCCCTCACTCGTGAACAAGACCCCAAGATACTTGAACTCCTCCACTTGAGGCAGGAACTCTCCACCAACCTGAAGGGAACAAGCCACCCTTTTCCGACTGAGAACCATGGCCTCGGATTTGGAGGTGCTGATTCTCATCCCAGCTGCTTCACACTCGGCTGCAAACCGCCCCAGTGCACGCTGGAGGTCCTGGTTTGATGGGGCCAACAGGACAACGTCGTCTGCAAAAAGCAGAGATGAGATCCTGTGGTCCCCAAATCGGACTCCCTCCGGCCCCTGGCTGCGCCTAGAAATTCTGTCCATAAAAATAATGAACAGAACCGGTGACAAAGGGCAGAGTATTAGCGTTTCTGAAAACATCAGTACAAGAACAAGAGTCCTTAAGACGAAGTAGAGTATCACAGTATTACATAACCAAATCCAAAGTAATGTCATGTCTACTATCGCATCTAATTACAATTATACATATTTATAGCTTTGTTACACCTGAATGGCAGGACAGTGTCTGTCATTGAACATGCAAGACAAAAAACAGGAAATGGGTAACCAGAGAATTTTTTTTTTTTGGCCTTTTTGCTAAACAGGGTGTCAAATGAGTTTAGATTTGCAGCTAAGTTACAGTTTCTTACAACTGACTAAGAGATCAATAAAGTAATTAGTGATGCAAGTAGCCATGGTATAAGAGTCAAAACAGACTCTGGGGCGACCTGATGTGTGAAATTCTGCGGAGGTAATGTCATCCCTCTCTGATATTCTTGTATATCAGCTAATGTGTAAATGTTTCAGCCAGTTTCTCATACTGTGATCATAATGTTACTGCAGTAACCACAGGTATTGGTATTCCTACCAGTTGACAGTGGCCATGCTGTGCTGTAAATTTGTCACATGGTCTCCAAGGTATTCACATGCAGGAAAAACGTTTCACGGCTGAATCACATTGGCCCTTATTTCCTAAATTTGCCATAAATCTTTCATTGTTTTTCCTTTCTTTCAGATGATTTTCGATCCCAACATGACCAAGAAAAAGAAGAAGAAGAAGAAGCCTTTCATGCTGGATGAGGAAGGAGGAGAGGGAATGGGTGGAGAAGAGGCTAGAGAGGTGGAAGCGAAGGAGACAGAACCAGAAGCTGGAGAGGACAAGGAAATGGATCTAGATGAAGATGAAGGCAGGAAGAAAGGTCTGAGTGAAAATAGAGATGTTGACTCTCAAATCTCATATTTAAGTGTCTGATCAGTGCATATTCTTCTTGAGGGATATTATATCATCCGTTGAGCTGCCAATCTATTAAGCTGGGTTTGTTTTTATCATCTTTAGAGCCATCTGATGATTTGAATGACCTGAACTTCTTCAACCAGAAGAAAAAGAAGAAGAAACCCAAGAAAGTATTTGATAATGATGTTGAGGAGGGATTAAAGGTCAGTCGATGCAAAACCACAACCAGTTTTCCTTCTCTTGACTCATCACTTGTAGTATGCATTCATTTTCTTTCTTCCTCTGTCTGATCATTTTATATCAGCACGTCCTGTTCCACTTTCACAATTATTTTCTCATTATGCTCCCTTCTTGTCTTTGCCACATGCACACAGACAGCGCTCATTGTCTCCTCCCTTAATTTCACTGTTCATTCGTCCATAACAGGAGCTGAAAATTGAAGGAGAGCAGACAGAGGTATTCGAGGAAGACAACCTGGACCTGATGCTTCCAACCAAAAAGAAAAAGTCAAAGAAAGTGGACTTTGACGAGGGAGAGATGCTGGAGAAGGACGATGGTGAGAATAAGTTGTCATCTTCAAAGCAGCTAAAATAAAGGAAGACATGTAACAATATGTTTGTATGATGGGATTCCAGCGCTGGAGGACGACGAGGGGAAGAACAGCGATGGAATCTCTTTTAGCTCCTTGACAGGACCAGCATGGGCCGGCTCTGAAAGAGATTACACCTATGATGAGGTAGGGCAGCTGTAACGAGCACATCCCCGCCCAAGACTCTCCCAAAAACAAAAGCAAAAAAGTTGCTTCAGAGAATCCAGCAAGGGTAAAAAGAGGATGGTGTATCTTGTTATTATCAGTATTTTTTTAGGCTAGGAATATCTTATTGGCATGCTTCTCATATTCCTGGAACACTTAACTCTCTGCTGCTCTTTCCTGCAGACATTTGCTTTGTATTGAAAACTTTTGTAGATATAAAGACTAAAAGGGTTAAAAGTAAAAACACATAAGATGTTGTCCTTATGTAACCAGTGTCAGTATCAGCTGCAGCTGGTATAACTCTGCTGGATCTGTGCCTCAGCTCCTGAACAGAGTCTTCAACATCATGAGGGAGAAGAACCCTGACATGGTGGCCGGCGAGAAGAGGAAGTTTGTGATGAAGCCTCCTCAGGTGGTCCGAGTGGGAACGAAGAAAACCTCTTTTGTCAACTTCACAGACATCTGCAAACTGTGAGCACCCCCACACTGAATCCCACTCTGTTTCCATCAATCCTAGTTCAGTTTGATTAAACCCGGTTCAGCTGATTTAAGCCTTGTATCAAACTATGCTGGCTAATGGTTTGTTAGATGTGTGTTACACAAACTAGCCTCTCCTGTACATTGCCACAGGTTGCATCGTCAGCCTAAACATCTTCTCGCTTTCCTGTTGGCTGAGCTGGGAACAAGGTACATTTTTTTGTATCAGTAATGGAATTCATGAATTTAATGTAATTGGATTTCTGTGGGCTTTAGACTTAAATTGTAAATTAAATGAAAAGATATTTCTGTGTGCAGTTTGATTTATTTCTGCTTTGTGCCTTTTTCCTCTTAACAGTGGTTCCATAGATGGAAATAACCAGCTTGTGATCAAAGGAAGATTTCAACAGAAACAGATAGAAAATGTGTTGAGAAGATATATCAGTAAGTGGGGAATTAAACCTATTATTTATATTGAGCATGAATCTCATTTGACTGTTTATGAATTCCATGTTTAGTAGTGTAATATTAAATCAGTTTAAACACCACCTTGAACTTATCTACTAAGAACACTTAAATATAAAGTGAACTCCTGTGTGTACTGCAGCACTAATAACACCATCTCACCCCTGCAGAGGAATACGTGACATGTCACACCTGCCGCTCCCCAGAGACCATCCTGCAGAAGGACACTCGTCTTTATTTCCTGCAGTGCGAGACGTGCCACTCCCGTTGCTCCGTCGCCAGCATCAAGACTGGCTTCCAAGCTGTGACCGGCAAGAGGGCGCAGCTCCGCGCCAAAGCCAACTAAAAGGGGCCTCCATACCTGGGCACTCCCACCTCCCTCTGCCTCCGCTCTCCCCTCAGAAGGGCAGATGCTGGGGTTGGATGCCCCCTTGATTCGCTAAAAGGACTCTGAATCGGGAGGGTTTTTCTTTTCTTTAGTTCTGTCATGGCCTGACCAGGCAGGGAGTGAGAGAGTATCTCAAGCAGACAGATGCAGATGCTGTGTATCACATACACTTTGGATACATGTGATCGGTTGGCTGGCTGAAGAACCCTCCACATCCTACGTTTTTTTGTTGTTAGTTTGCTGTGATTCTTGATTCCTGCAAGAAACCCTGATTAACATGGCTTGAACATTCCTCATTTGTTCTTCTCCCACTTTTCATACACCAGACATATTTCTTTGCATAAGGAATACCTTTCTCCATGCAACCAGCCAAATTGTAATTAAGTTGGTTTATAGTAACTGAACTTGGCTGCTCTGGTATGTGTAGCCTTCTGGCTCATGGCTACTTGATTCTGGAACTCAGCATAGCTTAAGCTGAAGGTTGTGTTCCTGATTTTGGTCTGGCTTTAAATCACAAAACTGTCAGTCCAGATGTGTTTATCAAAGGTAAAAATGAAACTCATACACAGGAAGATTTGTCAGTCTTACTATTCTGTGACAAACTTCTAACACATTGTTTTATTACAGAAGAAGACCCCAGGGTCAAACTACTAGGGCTGGAGCACCTGCTTACTGATGACTTTAATAAAGAGGTTGTGTGAGACAGAGAAATTGTTTTGAGCTTTTATGCATTGTGCTTTTATGCATCCTTTGTGCAACAATTGTGCACTTTTTCTTTGACTTCAGAAGTATAGAACAACATGCTCTCTCAATTATTGAATATTTGATTAAAAGTATGAAAATTAATGTTGCCAAGAAGAGCAGAGTTCTAGCACTATGTCAGTCCCCTAAACACCCAAAGGCTTTTCTCTAAAAGCAACTTCAGAGCAGGCACCTCAGATCATTCTCCTCTCACAGGTCATTATTTACATTACTGGATATATGACAGTGGTGGTTCTTCTTGTTTGAGAAGAATGATGAGGTCTAGCTGGAAGAACTTTAAAACCTGGTTTTTACAAAAATAAAATATTGTACTCTCTCTACTACTGCTCTCTGTGCTTACATCCTTTGTTGCCACAAACTCCTTACTACTGTAAGGTACTGTTGACGACATGTTTTGTTTGCAGTGTGTATCTGAGTAACATGACTTGGCTCAGGTTATTATTTACTCAGCTTGACCACAAATCATCATGGTTGATTGTGGAGCAGTTGGAAATTAATTATTAATTCGTTTTGGGTTTCTTTTTTTCAATAAAACAATCTAAACATAATTATAACCATTCTCTTAAAATGCTGATGGTGGTGATGTAAAAAAATCTCTTTATGATGCTCATGGTTTGGCATCTCTTGAAATATATGTATCCCCTGACATCATTGCCAGATTAGGGGTAGCAGTTTTTTGATACAGTGCTTGATGCCAGTGATTAAATAAATGAGCTTTTATTTTGGAGCTTACCGCCGGAACTCTGCCGTTAGCTTCGCGTTGATTGGCTGGTTCGATGCAATAGCAGAAAGTTTCCTGGTAAAGAAGCACATAGGGGCCAACCACGGCATCAGTGTACAGTTTAGATAGGAGCCGTTGTTGGGGAGAACTGAGTAGAATAGCGATCGGCGATTAAAAAACAAAATGCCTCGAGTATACATTGGACGACTGAGCTATCATGTCCGTGAAAAAGACATTCAGCGATTCTTCAGCGGTTATGGAAAACTCATGGAAATCGATTTGAAAAACGGGTAAGACTGCGATGATTGTCTAAACATTTCCTAGCCAACGATATGGCCTTTTCAGCATTAACCGTTCATGTTAACGACGTCAAAGCTGGCTCAAGAACATCTCACGTTTTTAAGACTAATATATTATATATAAGACAGCGTATAGTGTAACTCCAAGTTTGTTTTGAGTGTTACCATTATGAATTTGAATGCTTGTTGTTTCCCTAACCTTTGGTCTTGCCCGTGTGTTAAGCGTCGCATGGCCAACATGGCGTCTTTGTGCTTGCTACAGCGCGGAGCTAACAGGCCGTGCTAAGCATAGCTAGCTAGCTAATAGAGTGAACATAGTGTTTTAGCAGGAACTGTCTGGATCTGTTTTGTCATTCTCCAATTATTCTGTATCTAAACTCTGTCTTTTGTACTACAGCTATGGCTTCGTGGAGTTCGAGGATAACAGAGACGCCGATGATGCTGTGTATGAGCTGAACGGAAAGGAGCTGTGCGGAGAGCGGGTGATCGTCGAGCATGCCCGTGGCCCGCGGCGTGATCGAGATGGCTACGGTGGGGGTTACTGGGGTGGTGGGCGCAGTAAGTGCAGTCTATTACAAGGATACCCTCTTTTCCCCTTTCCCCTGGGGCGAGGCGTCGATGTGAACTGCACAGAGAGCTGTTTTGTTGTTTCATACGGGCGCTAATTGAGACTTTCTGCATAAATTTAATGTTACAGATTTCACCATTCGAGTTAATTTCATTTTCAGGGACACCTACGGTTTATAAATCGAACTCTTGAATCGCTTATTAAAGTTTTACACGGCCACACGTTTATTATGGCACAGATTGCATGCAAACTTCATAAGCAGTGATACTGTACTTCTGTTTATAATATTTAGTAGCATACCTATGGAGAGATTTTTTTGGAGCTAGGACTGATCTACATTCTTCTTGTTAAGGCAGTGCAGTTTTTTTTTTCTGGATATCCTCTTGCTGAACAGTTCTCAGCTCTCAGTTATGACCAAGGGTTGATGACCTGCAGTCTTTTGTTTCTTCCTAGTGATCATGAGCCACGCTAGACTTATTTGTGGTTCATGAAGGGGGAAGAACAATGATTTGCAAGTCGGCACCCTCAAATAACAGAACTCAAGAGTCTAGGCTGTGGAGTTGGCATTAGCTAAGATCATTGAAAGAAGAGCATTTTTATCATGGATTGTGAAGCTCTCCTGGATGAATATGTTGGTGAGCTATGTTTTGAAGGTGTGAATTAGAACATTTGTTGTGTGCAGCACAGAAAAAAAGCTAATCGCAAGTGATCTTCACAAACATAGCTAGTGTAGCTTTAGCTTAATCACTAGAACTAGACTAACGTTTTCATGTGAAATGTCTATTCTTTTTACTTTGGTATATATATATATATATATATATATTTTATATTCAACATTAACAAAAGTCCTTGATGTTTCAATTTGAAAGAGTCCAGTTGCGGGCTGAGGCTGAGAGTCCATTGAGGCTAAAGATGACTGGCTAAGATGACTGCCTGTCCCGTTTGGCCTTGGCTTTCACCTTACAATGTGTGTGTGACCTTTGCCCCCCCCCCTTGATCCTTGGCTGACCTAACCGGAAGCCATGATGACAGCAGCCTTTTGCCAATAGACCAGGGGTGATGGTGAGGATTGCCATTGGTTTCTATGTTGACAACAAACATAAGTGGATCGACTCTAGTAAAGAACTTACAGTCCAAAGAAATCTTGACTGACTAAAACTGGAAAACATTTCACACTTGACAGCTGGTCAAGTAACAAATGTCAAAAGATTGGTGTGTTTGTTTTTAAATACACGGTTCTTACTCAATTTGATCAGTGCCTTTGACCGCAACCCATGTGGATACCTCCTTTCTGTTTGTGTTACAGGGTTCAGAGGTCTTGAAAGAACATCACTGTCCATTTGTTTAAGCAGCTAAAGCATCACAGTGTTGATGTACTGAAGTAAGACAGGTTTTTTATTGCTGGAAACAGATGCAGTGGTGTTCTTTGCAGCAGAGAACAACTTCCAAAATGCTGAACAATACAAACTTTAAATAGCCCATGCAGTGGCTTGTAGCTCACTTATCTGAAGCATTGGTTTTGAAAATAGGATCAGAGGGACTCCTTTCTTTATTAAGTTCAAATTTAAACCCCCTTGGCCTTCTATCTGGCAAGTCACTGCCTTGTGTTCATTTGATAACCCAGGCCAGTAGTTCTTGTGTCTAGACCATTTTAGTTGTTTCTAACTTTTTTCATGTGCTGTTGTTTTTAAAGGTAGCGGTTATAGCAGCAGGAGCCGTTCGGGCAGGGATAAGTATGGACCTCCAGTCCGTACTGAGTATCGTCTCATTGTGGAGAACTTGTCCAGCCGCTGCAGTTGGCAGGACCTCAAGGTACATGTACAACTCAAACCATTGTTTTTTTCCTTTGTTTGGTTACATGTTGTGATTGATGCCATATTGAATTTTTTCCCCCTACATTTTCTGTGTCCACCAGGACTTTATGCGTCAGGCAGGAGAGGTGACCTATGCAGACGCCCACAAGGAACGCACCAACGAAGGAGTGATTGAGTTCCGCACCCACTCGGACATGAAAAGGGCTCTGGAGAAGCTGGATGGTACAGATATCAATGGACGAAAGATTCGTCTGGTGGAGGATCGGCCTCGCAAGCGAAGGTCCTACTCTGGAAGCCGCTCCAGGTGAGGACACTCCTTCACCGCTGATTAAGTTCTTTACCTTTGGACCCGTTGTTTTGTGAACAGTGCACACTAATCCCCTGTTGCTAACAAGATTGTAACACTGATGTTTTGCACAAGACATGATTGTGGTTTTGTCTTTGACCTTTGTGCTGCCATCCTCAGATCTCGCAGTCCCCGCCGCTCCCGCAGCCGTAGACACAGAAGCCATGGGAGCAGGAGCTCTCGCAGTCGCTCCAGATCCCGCTCCAGGTGAGAATGGCTCTTATCTATAAGATTGGAGTTCTGGTTAAAGTCCTGGCAAAGATAAGTTCACTGTAGAGGATATGTATTGGATGTTGTGGCGGTAATTAATTAAACTTTTAATTAAGTCATAACTTCAAAAAGTGAAATTAAACTTTTATTCCTTACAGGTCTCGTTCCCATAGCAAGAGACATCATTCCCGCTCCAGATCTGGAAGAAAGTCTCGCTCTAAATCAGGAGAAAGGAAGTCTCATTCTCGTAATCGCAGGTCCCGTTCTGGATCCCACAAATCCAAGTCTCGTTCACGCTCCGGCAAATCCCGATCCCATTCAGCCGATCGGAAATCCAAGTCCCGTTCAAAGAGCCGTTCTAAGGTAAAGTCAGAGCGGGATTCTCGTAGTCGATCCAAGGAGGTGTCTGGTGACAAGAAGTCTCGCAGTCGTTCAGCTTCCCCAGTAGAGAATGGGAAGGGGGAGCGTGGCGCCAAATCTGCCTCGCGTTCTCCATCCCCACTGGAGAATGACCGTAGATCCAAGTCCAGGGAGAAACGCTCAGCCTCTCGCTCTAAATCCCGCTCAAGATCTCGTTCACGGTCTAGATCAGCTTCTCAGGATTAGTTGTAGAGGATGCGTTTTTTTTTTTCCCCCCCCTCTCATTTGGAGCTTGATCCCTACGCTGTACATAATGAGCAGTATTGTCATACTGACTTGTGCTTCCTGACATATCTACTTTTCTCCTACAAGTGTGCACTTGTCTTTAACATGTTTTAGATGCAGTTTTATTTGTGTGCGCCACAGTGACAGGGCTGCTTTTCTGGGATCATTTTGATCTCTGATTCATCTGCTTCCCAAAAAATATTTTCACCCTAACTTTCAAAAGATGAAGTGGTCCCCTTCAAATCTTTAGAGCTGTTAAAAGCTGTTCATAGATTGGTAGAAATAGTCTTTATTTTACCTTGGTCATTTCAGTTTGCAGCACAATAATTTGAGAGAGAAAATTTACTAGAATTGTCCCGGGTCCACTAATGTCCTGAGCATTTATCAAACATCCTGTAATTTAACTGTTTCGCAATCATTCACGCATGCGTGGTTGTGGGAGAAAAGTAACATTTGGCTACAGCATTGGAGCAGGTTTTGGTTTTTGAACTGCGGCCTCAATAATTGATCTGTCAAGGAATAGTTAAGTCTTGGGGTTTTGTGGAGCTCTAAAGTGCACAACTGGGATGCAGGAACTTGTACTGCATATTTACAAGAATATGATAAGGGTTTGTATTTCATGTTTGAACAACTTAGGTTATAGCTGTACATAGGCCTTGCGATCGGCATCGGACTGATTTGTTTGTTGTTGCCACAGACTTTGTCCAGTGTTTCTTCTGACCGCAGCCTCCGATAAAGTAATTTTCACTTTGTATTTAACCTTTTTCCTGCAAGTTTCCTTTGAGAGGCTTTAAGGGTTTTTGTCAAGCCTCTGCTTGTTTAACGTATGCAGCTAGATCTGGTGTTTGTATTCAAACAATGAATCCATTGACATTTCCCGGGGGGGGGGGGGTCTGATCATCAGACCCACTGAACACAGCCCCCTGTATCTTATAAAACATTATTTCTCCATATGCATTGTATCTAACAATGTTCTTTTTTATTGTATGTCCAATTAAAGATCTTAATGAGAAATCTTGTCGTCTGATGTTGCTTTGTGTCAGGATTGCAAAAAACCTTTACTGCAGTATCGATATGACCTATATCCTACTAATTATATAATAAATGCTCTTTCATCGAGTGTACTCAGAAATGGGGAGGAAATCCGTGGATTGTAGATGCACATAGAAGCAGTTTGTTTATCTTTGAGGTTAACAAAAAGCGACGGGGCGGATGTTGAAGGTCTCCAGTTAAATCGATGAAGCACTACATTATTTTCACATATCGACCATTTGTGAAAGTGGAGCGCTTGCTTTGTAAGTCTTAGCGTTACATTATAGTCAGCGAGCGGTGACTGTACTGGGGACGAGCGCATGCGCAGTCGGAGCCCACGAGCCGCAGGAGATCAGAGCTGGTAAGCCAAATTTCAGTTCCCATCTGCAACCATGAATTAATTTAACATTTACAATTTTAATCTAACTGAAGCAGACACGAGCCGTCTTTTAATATTAGAGGTTTTTTAAGGGACAAGTGTCAGTATGCTTTTTCTCGACGTAAAGCGTTTTGGTGTTACGGATATAATCAACCAGAAAGCTTTTCATCTAAAAAAAAAATGTATATTTGATTATGGCACGCGTTTAATTAAGCTAATCGGGTTTAACACCTACTTTTAAATTTGTAGAAAGAGTCACCCCCGTGTTAGTAAAATATACAGCATGCTTTATTTTGTTGTGAGCCGAAAATAATGCTCATTCATTTGGGATGTTGGCGGAATGGGTGACAGGTTTAACATTTCAGTAAATTGGATTTTCACAGGATTTGAGAGACTGCTTCTACACATTTTTTGCCTCAATGATTTCACATCCTCCGCCATTTTAAGTGAAATGCTGTAGTTTTGTGCGTGTGTAGACTTGGTGTGTCACCGTTATTGCCTTTTTTATTCTAGGTAGCCTAATGGATGGCTGTTAAAAAGTCACATGGGGTCGTGGTTGTTGATGGAGGAAGGCATCTCTGCTCTGCTGTTATTGTGTAAAATGGCACTCCTGAAAATTGTTTTGTCTAACTTTAAGGAAACACCCAAGTAAAAAAATTGAAGTCTTTTTTCTCTGGTTTTATCTTTTAGTTTAAAATTTAAAAATCTTAGTTCATATGTGTAAAATCCGTTTTTGAGGAAAAATGGGAGGCAGTAAATATAAAGAGGAAAAAGTGTCCATCAGCAGGATTCTCCTTATCCCTATGGTTATGTTATGTAAATATGGTGGTGTCACTGAATGTTATGTGTTCAGAAACACTGTAGCACCAAAGTCGGCTCAAGTGTTTTATTATAGTTATTTCCCCCCTTCTTATTGATGCTCTTATGCAGTGTGTAAATACCACGGTAATATCCTTATAGTTAATGATAAAAGTGGGACAAAACCACTGTAAAAACATTTTGAGAAGAGTTGCAGAATGGAGGATCTGTAATAGCTTAACTGTAGATTTCTGGTCAGTCAGCTTTATTTTTACACTACAGCCCAAAATCTGTGGAGGGGTTTACAAAATATGACATCTTTGTACTTTGTACTGTCCCTCATATTCTTTGCTTTTCAGCGCTCCGCAGTAAGGGACAGGGACACTGTTATGAGTGCCAAAGTGAACATGGAGGCACCATCTAAAGAACCCGACCGCACCCCTTTGGACCCATCCTCTTCGTCCCCCAGCGAAGCTGTCCTCATCTGTGGCAGTGACGGTGTGGCCAAGAAGGCTCGACCCCAGCCCCACACCACCACAACTCTGCTGCTACCAGGTGAGCACAGCTCTGGTGGTGAGGCTTAGATAGACTATCCTAGAACAAGCTGATGTCTCAGCAAATATATACAATATATACCCTGCTTAAGGGCTGAGCAAGAAAGACACTGACATTGACCTCGTTTAACTGAGGATCAGGCAACACATTCAAAAGCGACAGTAAGCTTTAAGTGACCAACGCTGGGCTAAAATGAAAGCTCACAGCTAAGCTGTTTTCTGTGTGTTTTCCTTTTCAAAACTCACCCCCGCAGTGTTTCATCTCATTTACTGGAATTATATTCAAAGCCAAGGAGACTTATAATTACTCATTTAATAAAGTCACACATGTGGTATTAGTTGGGTGAACTAAAGCCCCCAAATGAAACTTGCAGGAAAAAAGATTAAATACAAACTGGGTAAAAAAAAAAAAAAACCCATCAGTCATAATCTAAATTAGGACACATTTAGAAATTCACTATTTGTGAGCGTGGATATTTTTGCAGGATTGGATAAATTTCCTGTGATATTACAAATTGACCTGCCGGTCCATTTATATAAGAGGTTACGTATGGCATCAATAAAATACCTTTCCATAGAGCTGAAACAATTACGTGAATAGTCAATTGATAAAAAAAAAATTAACAAATACTTTGATAATCTGTTAATCATCTCAGTCATTTTTCAACTGAAAAAACAAATGGTACTCTTCCTCTTGTGATACAGCAGCAGCTGAATACTGTAGGCTTCTGAACCTATGGAACAAGCCATCTGAAGATGTCACATGTTCTGCAAAGACATAATAGGCATTTTCTGACATTTCATAGACAAAACTGTTAATTAAAACAACTAATTGTCAGATTAATCAATAATGCCAATACTTGTTAGTTGCAGCCATACTTGTCATACCTTAATATGCGACCACATGGTGGTTAGAGCGGTCAGTTGCTTCAGTCTCACCACTGCTCTCATCTTTGTTTGCTGCATAGAGCATTCTGCTTTACTGCTGTAATGCAGTGTAGCAGCTTTCCATTACAACTTGAACTGTTAGCATTACACACTATGTATAGTGTCTGCAAAATTCTGTGTTAGTGCTGCATATCAACTTCATGATTGTCTTGGCAGCAGTTCCAAGCTACATTAGCTGTTACACAGCAGAATCTCAGGTGAATGAGATTCTCTTGTGTTATACTACTGAACAACACGTTACGCACAATGCAGCTGTTACATGTTGCATTGTAGATAATGTACTGTATATTAGGCTCCAGGTTTAGACAAGGCCAAGGATTGTGTGGAATAAAAGAGACAATATCTCTGGTTCTGCTGCATTTGTTTGGATCCTTTTTATAAGGTGACCATTGTGTTGTAGAAGTGCAACGTTAAACTGGTGGAGTGCTATTTGAAATTATTTTATGTTGGATTTCTGAAGAAACACTGGTCTCCAGTAGCAAGTTGCTTTTCTTTTAAGGTTTCTCTTGAGTTACACAAAGGAAGGAAAAAGAGGAAACATATCGTGCAATAAAATTAAAACATGACATGATAAACTCTGCTGCTTGGGTAGAAAGTGAATCAATAGCGCTATCTGTCTTCTTAGCTCCTGTTCCCACCCATCAGAAGGTGGAGGTGACTCCAGCTGTTGCCATGGGTGACCCAGGTAAAGGAGGCAGGGGCAATGAGACAACCACGCCAACCCTGACAGCACAGGTGGGCGGGGCTTGTAGCATCGTCCACGTCCTAGAGTGGAAGGAGGGGATGGCCATCCTGCCCAGCAGTAACCTCAAGGTAAAGTGATGTTTAGTGCATTTGGCCCACTGCACGAATTTAGCCTGAGAGATTACAACTACATTAATAATAAGTGTCAATATACATTTTTTTTCTTGTGTGTAATTGTTTCTAGCCATGGGCAGAATTTTGCATGGACAGTGGCAGAAAAGGACATGTACCTGATCCCATGTGCCCATGATTTAACGATCCCCCCCCCCGATGTCTAAATCATAAGATCCCATAACTGGATGAACGACCTTTAATAATAATTTAATGTGGCTCTTTTTGAGTATAATGATGTACCAACTAGAATGTTTGCCATCAGTGTTTGTTACATTTCGGCTTTGAATGTACTGTAGGAGAGAGCAATTTATTTTCTTATTTATCACAACTGGTATATGCTGTTTAGAGGCAGAAACTCCAGCAGCAGTGTAACCCAGTTAGAGCTTCATACTGATTAGTAGACCCACTCACGCTGTGCATTTACCGCGTTCATACTGGGTAATCAGGTTTTCATCAGAAAGCTTTTAAATCATAACAAACAACCTGAGATGCTCTGAGGACAGGTTATAATCTGATCACTCACCCATGACCTTTGTAGTTGATAGAGAATTTTGCCACATAAACTAACTGAAACCTCATAGTAACCAAGCCACAACAGGCCACACTGCATATTTTGTAATTGTCTGATAAATTGTTTTGAAGAGGGAAAAATAGGTTTGACTGATGGGTCCATTGATGTGTGTGTGTGTGTGTGTGTGTGTGTGTGTGTGTGCGTGTGTGTGCAGTTCTGTGTGAGTGACGTAGGTACTTTGAGCACACTGATCACCCCAGGGACCACCAGCAACACCACTGAACTAGCAGCAGGGATGTCTGGACGTACGGTTGATGCAGAAAGTGCTCCAGCAGATAAGCCAGGTAGACTCATAGTTACATAAGGACGCAGTAAAATCAGGGACTGGACACATTACTGAAGTGTTCACTTTGCACGCACAACGCTGAAAACATTTCAGAACCAGCAGCTGCCAATTCCAACATCTGGCACAAAATGAAATAATTTTAAATATTACTTTGCTTTGGTTTGAGATGTACCATATGTCCCTCTCTTATATTATAGCACATATTTAATAAATAAAGACCTTGTATGACACAAATAAAAAAATTAGTCTATTTGCCTTTGTTTCATGTACTATGGTAGTTAAGGAGTATTACTTTCTGTACATGGCTGCACCTTTATTTTAAATATTCACAGCATGCCCTTGTCAGTGATCACTTGTGTGCATATTAAACAGAAATGAGAAATAATTACATCAGCTGCAGCAGAGCTGCTCTTGACAAGTGGAGCGAGTGCAGCTGCAGGTGGAAATAGTCAAAAATAATAATAGGCCAGAAATTCAGTTATAGTGCTGGAACTGCATTCACATGAATTCAATGAAATAATCAATGAAGAGCACAAGAGAAGAGCAGAATTTAATTTAGACTCTAAATTTAAATCTGTATCAAATTTCAGATGTGTCACTCCCTGTCAGCTCTGTGAGAGGTGCAGTTGTGGAGCCAGAGAGGTTGGTGCCGGTCAAACCTGAAGTCTATGTTGGACCGGGACAACAGAACCATGAGCTCAGACCTCAGAGGGTCTACACAGAGGAGCTACGCAGAGAGCCCATCACTGACAAGTGTGTTTGTAACGGCTGCTTCACCTTAATGCTCACACGTGCATTTCTATGCACATACTGTATGTACACTAGCAGTCAGTCATTTTGTGTATTAGAATACTCAGTCATGTATCCTGGTACACATTCATTATACATACTGTTTAAAACTGAGATGTAGGAACCACTGATGATGTGCATTTCTGCCTTGCCTTTTTTGGTTGATGTCTTTTTCTTGTTTCATTGAGTCATTCCTCCATTAAATGTGGCAGTACTGGTACCAGTTGCTAGTTAGAGTGGCAGATTTGCTTCTGGGTGTAGTCCCATGTGTCCTCTGAACACTGAAAACAATGGTACAAATATGTTTTGGTGGTGCACCATGCACCCTGTGGTGTCTTGATGTTTGTGTAAAATGCTGCGGTGTTGTATGTAGATGCCACTGTTGGGTTTTTACTGTGCTTGTACTTAATGTTATTAATGCACCCACCAAACAGGAGCATCTGTATGTCAAAGTCTAGTGCAAAACACACACATGGGCCCATGTTTGGTTAAAAGCAACAAGCTCTCTCACCATCACTGCACTGGGGTTGTTTATAGGCATTCTGGGAAACCTGGTCTGAAGTGATAAGGTACACAGAATCCAAAGCCAGTCTACAGCTGAGTGTGAAGGGTGAACATAAAAGTCATGAATATATAACATAAGGAAACAGGTCACAGTATAGTGATGTGTTTAAACTTGAGGAACACTGCATCTGTCCTGTCTGCACCGTAGGAGGAGTGTTGGGGTGGAGAAGGTGCCGGCAGGTGGAAGAGTCTCCTCCCTTAACCCTGACCACCTGAAACCCATGAGGAAGAGAAAGAGGAAGGAGTACTTGAGTCCCTCTGAGGAAGACTCCGACATTGAGGGCACGGTGGGATGGCTTTCTTAATCTGGAGAGATAACTATATGCTCTCGTGCCTGATGAGTTTAGTCAAACATGCATGATTTAATAAATAGTGTGAAATATTTTTCTTCTTCAAGTAACTATATTGCCTTTTTACTCATGCAATTTTTTAACGTTTTTATTAGGATGAGAAAATGGATGATTCTAAAGCAGATGGAAGACACATCCGAGGAGGTTGGACTAATAATTGTTTGCATTTTAGTCCTTTTTTGTTTATTTCTTTACTGTAAAACAGGGAATCTGCCCATTTCTTGACTTTGTCATCTGTTTTACTATTAAACCCCTCCCCTCTCCCAGTTTCCTTCAGTTCAAGCTTGTTGCCAGTATTATCTTGCTGTGATGCACATTGTATAAATGGATTAACTAACTGTTATTTCTGGCCAAGCTGGAGACAGTAAGACAGAGCAGTGGACGTGGGCTCAGTATCTGCAGGAAACCAAAGCTGCTGCTGCTCCCAATATGTGTTTCCAAGAGGTATGTTAACATTTCAGATTCAGACTGTAGCTTAAACCGGAGCTAATGCTACTTCCACACAAGCTCGCCCAGCAAACCCATGATATTTTAATACTTCTTTTACTACACCCGCAGTTATCCTTACAGGGTAGCAGTAATGTCAGGGGAGGAAATGATCAATTGAATGTACCTGGGAAGAGAATGATGTATGCAACCAAAAGCATCTATTAATATAGTAATTTTATTACTGAGTGTAATGCTGAGGGAGATTTAAACTCATGTATTTCTCTAACATAGACCCTGTAATCTCCACTACTCCATTTGCTGCACTTTTATCTTTTCTCTGTTACTTGCCCTGTTTCAATTTCCCCACAAGGATAATGTCTTTTCACTTTATTTTATATTACTCTCTGTGTTGGGTACTGTAATAGTTAATCTTTTATCCCGTGCCCTCAGTCCCAGAGAGTGCCAACAGTGAAGAACGGCTTTAAACAGGGGATGAAGCTGGAAGGCATCGACCCACAGCATCCGTCCATGTACTTCGTCCTCACTGTGGCCGAGGTGAGCCAGAGGATCATTAACACAGTGGATGGACCTTTAATGGCCAGGCTGATTATTTAGGATTAAAAATCACCCTTCACCCACAGACTGCTTTACATGCAGGAGGAGTTCAGCCCGGCACTGCCTGTTCCAGCCTGCTTTGTTTTGCTCTCATGTATCATGTCATCATCCAGGTCTGTGGTTACCGGCTGCGGCTCCATTTTGATGGCTACTCCGACTGCCACGACTTCTGGGTGAATGCCAATTCCCCTGACATCCACCCTGCAGGGTGGTGTGAGAGCACGGGCCACAAACTGCACACTCCCAAAGGTCAGAGGTGACAACACTCTGGACACCTTGAAAACCCAAAGACTTAAAAGAATCTAAATGAAATATCCTGTTATTCATTTATGCTTGTTTTTACATTTCTCAAGATAAATCTTCAACTTTAAAGGAAATATGCTTATTTACATTCTCACTGAGAGTCACATGTGAAGACCCTGTATAGGGTGGCAGTGGCTCAGGAGGTAGAGCAGGCTGTCCCCTCACCATAAGGTTGGTGGCTTGATCCCCAGTTTCTCCAGTCCACATGTCAGAGTGTCCTTTAGCAGGACACTGAAACACTAGTTGCTCCAAATGATATCACCGGTGTGTGAATGCAAAATAGCGTAGAGTACATTAAGTGTGCATCAGTGTGTAGAAAAGTGCTATGTAAGACCATTTAAATATGAAGCTTAGGGAGACACAGCTAGCCTGGCTTCGTCCACACAGAACAGCAAAAACGAACCTTCCAGCACCTCTAAAACTCACCGTTAACACATTACATCTTGTTTGTTTAATGCGTATAAAAACTGAAGTGTAAAAACAACACATGGTTTCAAAGGGGGTTACGTGCAGCAATGTATCTCGTCAACAGACAAGGTATAAATAAGATATATAAACTGTTGATCAGTGAACTTTAGAGGTGTTGGTATGTGAGTCCAGTCTTTATGCTAAGCTAACATCTCCTGGCATAGTTTGAATTGTTCCTTTAAATATGTGAATCTTCTGTATCCCTGTCTTTCCTGCAGGCTGCAAAGAGGAGGAGTTTACCTGGGCCAACTACCTGAGAATGACTAAAGCACAAGTGGCTCCCAAAGAACTCTTTGCCAGTCCTGGGAGGGTAAGTGCAACTAAACAGTACAACAAAAAAACAATATTTTAACAGCACTTAGTTTCTTTTATATCATTTATTAGCTCGTTTGCGAGTCTCTGCTTCCTTATGTGCACTGGCCATGTCATTTCTAATATTTGTGCCTTCCGTTCAGATGGATGTGAAGTGTGGTTTCGAGATAGGAATGAAGCTGGAGGCTGTTGACCGTATGAACCCCTCTCTCATCTGTGTAGCAACTGTCACTGACGTGGTGGATGACCGCTTCCTGGTTCATTTTGATAACTGGGATGACACGTACGACTACTGGTGAGCCTCAAAATCTCTCCGCATACACAGGCTTTTGGAAATTATTGAAGAAAGCATCTAGAAGTAATATGATACCGAGCAGCTGTAACAAAACCGGTGTAACAAGCTAAGAAATTGATAAATGTGCATTGAGAATTTGCAGAATAGGGTTGTGGCCCAGGTTTTGTGCTTAACTTAAGACCCTTACACATTTTTGGACCTCTCACACAGGTGTTTTCACTTCATGTCGTCTGTTGTGTGGTTGTGTACTTGTTGGAGCCGGTAGTGTTGGATGACTTCCATCTTTATTATTAGGTCACAGTGTTAGATTAAATATTGTAATAAAATCATTTATGTGTATATAATTTTGTAAATTTGCTTATTAGATTTGCTTAAGAGTATTTTTTAGTTCTGAATTTGTCTATTTTTATTTTACGTTACATTTTGTAGTGAGTCTTAAAGCTGAGTCTAATCAGCTGATTAACTAAAACAACTGTGTAGTTGTGCTGGTCCTGCATTAGTCTAAACTTGGCCACTAAAGGACAGTTTGTCGTCACCACAGTGCATGTAGCAACTTGATTCACAGTTAGTCTAAAGCTATAACTGAGTGTGAGATCAATCCACAGTAAAGACTGTTCTAGCATCAGGTTGGCAGCTCTAAAACGTGTTATTGATGGTCAGAGTAAATCTACAGTGATGTGAAAAAGTCTAAACCTAATAACTGGTTGGGCCACCCTTAGCAGCAACAACTGCAATCAAGCGTTTTCGATAACTTGCCATGAGTCTTTTACAGCGCTGTGGAGGAATTTTGGCCCACTCATCTTTGCAGAATTGTTGTAAGTCAGCCACATTGGAGGGTTTTCGGGCATGAACTGCCTTTTTAAGGTCATGCCACAGCATCTCAATTGGATTCAGGTCAGGACTTTGACTAGGCCACTCCAAAGTCTTCATTTTGTTTTTCTTCAGCCATTCAGAAGTGGACTTGCTGGTGTGCTTTGGATCATTGTCCTGCTGCAGAACCCAAGTTCGCTTCAGCTTGAGGTCACAAACGGATGGCCGGACATTCTCCTTCAGGATATTTTGGTACACAGCAGAATTCATGGTTCCATTTATCACAGCAAGTCTTCCAGGGCCTGAAGCAGCAAAACAGCCCCAGACCATCCCACTACCACCACCATATTTTACTGTTGGTATGATGTTCTTTTTCTGAAATGCGGTGTTACTTTTACGCCACACATAATGGGACACACACCTTCCAAAAAGTTCAACTTTTGTCTCGTCTGTCCACAGAGTATTATCCCAAAAGTCTTGGGGATCATCAAGATGTTTTCTGGCAAAACTGAGACGAGCCTTTATGTTCTTTTTGCTCAGCAGTGGTTTTCGTCTTGGAACTCTGCCATGCAAACCATTTTTGCCCAGTCTCTTTCTTATGGTGGAGTCATGAACACTCAGCTTAACTGAGGCAAGTGAGGCCTGCAGTTCTTTGGATGTTGTTGTGGGGTCTTTTGTGACCTCTTGGATGAGTTGTCGCTGCGCTCTTGGGGTAATTTTGGTCGGCTGGCCACTCCTGGGAAGGTTCTCCACTGTTCCATGTTTTCGCCATTTGTGGATAATGGCTCTCACTGTGGTTCGCTGCAGTCCCCAAGCTTTAGAAATGGCTTTATAACCTTTTCCGGACTGATAGAGCTCCATTATTCTCTTTCTCATTTGTTTTTGAATTTCTTTGGATCTCGGCATGATGTCTAGCTTTTGAGGATCTTTTGGTCTACTTCACTTTGTCAGGCAGGTCCTATTTAAGTGATTTCTTGATTGCGAACAGGTGTGGCAAGAGAAATTGAACTCAGGTGCGATAAACCAGTGTTTTGACAGGGGGGCAAACACTTGTTCACACAGGGCTCTATAGTTTTGGATTTTGTTTTCCCTTAATAATAAAAACCTTCATTTAAAAACTGCATGATGTGTTTACTTGTGTTATCTTTGACTAATATATAAATTTGTTTGACGATCTGAAACATTACAGTGTGACAAACATGCAAAAAGATAAGAAATCAGTAAGGGGGCAAACACTTTTTCACACCACTGTAAATCATGTTTTGCACAGCCTCCTAACTCATTTAGTGGAGTTTTTTTCTTTACAGTGAAACAACCAAACTGCAGCGTCGCTTGTTTATTATCTGTTGTCATTTCTGTTTCTACTGATTTTACTGTAAACTCCCAAAAAGTTTTTTTTATAACAACACTGGGTGATGCTGCTGATATGCAGGTGTGACGCCAGTAGTCCATACATTCACCCTATTGGTTGGTGCCAGGAGAGGAACCTGCCCCTAACACCACCTCAAGGTGACAAATGTGTGTCCTGTTAATCATTGATTTAATCATGTCATAATTATAACATGGACCATGAACCTCAAAACATAATATAATCACAATGTACGGGATGATCGCTTTGTATTCACTGATTGAGGGGAATTTATTTTTTTTTGCTCTGCCAGATTACCCAGACCAGGGCCGCTTCTCTTGGTCTCACTACCTGGAGGAGACTGGTTCCAAGGCGGTGGCTGCTGACACCTTTAAAGTGGTGAGACCAGAGAATCAATGTACTGTTTTTGGTTTGGTGTTGCAGGGGATCACTACACCCTAGTTTTGCTGTAGTGTCTCTCTGTGGTACGGGCTAGCAAAACCCAACAGTGACAGTGTGGGCAAAGAATGCTGCAAGCCACTGAAGGTGTTTTCTCTCATCCTCTGCTCTGTCTCCAGCGTGCCCCGCACAGCTTCCAGACTCAGATGAAACTTGAGGCTGTGGACAAGAGAAGTCCTGGTCTGATTAGAGTGGCCACAGTGGAGGACGTCGAGACTCACCGCATTAAGGTTATGGTCCTGCATGTGTGGGTCATTGTGTCAAATGTTTCGCCAGCTCTGTCAAGTCCGTTACAGCTTGAACCAAGTGGACTTGTTAGTTTGAGTCTTGGTGCTAATAGTTCTAACATGTCCAGTGGAATTAGCACTGACATATACTTATATTGGAATGTACATCTGTACACACCTGCCCTAGACCCATTATACAGGCTGAGCTGGGTGCATTTGGAGTGTGTGGACATGTGCACTATATGTGCTCTCTATTCCTCCTTCAGGTCCATTACGATGGCTGGAGTCATATCTATGATGAGTGGATGGACTCAGATCACCCCGACATTCATCCAGCGGGCTGGTGTGAGGCGACCGGTCACCCACTTAAAGTTCCCCCACGGGACCCCAAAACACAGCAACCACATGGTAGCTATCAACACAGCTCTCAGTCAAAACTGGAAGCCAGTGTTCTTCAGAATGCAAATCAAAGTTATTCCTGATAGCATTAAATTGAGTTGAGCTAAATGTAGCCCCCCCCCCAGACCCACAATGCCATGTATATATAATAATAGAACTTAAAATAGAAATGTAAAAGAGGCAAACAACTGGTAAATTAGATGCTAACTGAAGTGAGAATTGCTCTGAGGTTCTTTTATTAACTTAACATTTGAACTGTTGAATTGATTCATTGATTTTACTTTTTATGTTAGAATCGCTCCATTGCTTTTTATTGATTACTAAATGCAGTTATAATATCCCTTTTAAACATTTGATCACTATATTGATTAATTTATTTTTACATCACTTATTAATCACTCTTTTTATTGCTAGTTTTTTTCAAAGTGTAATCCATGTCATTTGCTGACATATGTATTTCTAGTTAATTCTATGCATAATCTCTCAAATGTGAGGGTTCATCTGTTTGTATTTGGATGTTCTGTACGTAGGTGTGAGGGAGCCTCCTGCTACAGGCCAGTCCACCTACCCCTCCTCTGTTCCCTGTAAACCCATCAGCCACCCCAGAACCAACAAGTACAGCTTCCACAACAGGTCAGCCCTGAATTCAACACCCTCAGGTCCCTTAATGATGCGTCATTCGCGGGCGCAGCCATTCAAACTACACATCAATACCTAACATCAATTTTGTCCATTAAATAACTTTAAAACACATTTTAAAATAATGATTTCATCAGAGTTTCTTCAAATGCACCAAGGGCAGATATCCGTTTGACAGTAAAGCGAACCTCTTTTTTTGAAACAGGAAGTGTCCAACTCCTGGTTGTGATGGTTCAGGCCATGTGACCGGTCGTTTCACCGCCCATCACTGCATATCTGGCTGCCCATTGGCGGAGCGTAACCAGGGCAGGCTGAAGGCTGACCTGTCAGACTCAGAGTGCAAGAGGAACCTCTTCTTCGGCCAGAGGACCAAGAAGACCCATTACCGTGGCAGGTTAAGGCCTGTCTATGTGTGCTTGCATGTGTGCAGGTTTGATTTTGTCTCACATGAATCTTTTCCCCTACTTGCAGGATTGGTCGTCCTCCCAAATACAGGAAGAACCAACAGAGAGATTACCAGAGTGAGTTTAGAAATGGACAATAAAAATCCTACTTTGAGTGGATTTAATTAACATACGAGATATGGGCAGCAGTTTGATGGCAAGTAGTCAAGTCCATCACCTCCCACAGCCTGACACCTCCACTTTAAACAGCTTTCTATCTGTGCGGCCGTTGCACTTCAGAGAAATAACATCTGTAAACACACCCACAGACCTAATTCGCGTTTGTAGCTTTGCTGTGGGTGTGATAGTGCAGACACATCAGCTTGACAGTCACTGAAATGTTTTCATGTCATCTGCAGATGTGAATGTTGTATCTGAGTCATATCTATCGCAAGATGTAGCACAATTTGGCAGCAACAGCTCATTTAAGAAAAATTAGATTTTTTAGGAATAAGAATTTGAAAATACAGGGTAGCAAACTAGTGGTTAGAATATTTTCACAGTTAATGACGGCCCTCTTCCATTTAAGGGCTCTAGTTTCGTGATCAGCGTGGCTTAGAGTGCAGTCGAGTGTACGCTGCCCAGTGCCAAAAAGCACATTTTGGCATATTCATGGTCAGACACACTTGGCATTTAGACAGTCTGATGAAACATTTGTCTTCATAAGTCAACATGTTATTGTGTGTTATGTCTGTGTTACGTCAGACATGTCCTCAGAGGGTGTGTATCCATCACTGTTCATGTCGGCTCTAAGTGGACAGTCGGACAGGACTCTGTCTCTGTGCTGGGAGCAGCACTGCAAGCTGCTGCCCGGCGTTCAGGGCATTCACGCCAACCAGGTGGCAGCATGGAGCGTTGAAGAGGTAAGGAAATATCATCATTTATTTCTCTTTTTTTTCCAGATTTTTCAGGTTTCTTTGACTGTTTTGATTATTTGATACCTCCTATACATGTGCTGCAGGTCTTCAGATTTGTCCAAACTCTAATTGGGTGCGAAGAACAGGCTCGTCTCTTCAAAGAAGAGGTGAGACCACCAAGCATGTGTGAATAAATATAACTCATGCAACAATCACATAACTTTGTCATGTTTGCAACTGATGAATAATCAGTTTAATTAGCAAATGTCAGTGAATGCCAGTGCATCATATTTGACCATGTGGGAAATTTAGATCTCAGACTGTCTCAAAGAAAATGCGCTATTATGATTAGCTCATTTACTGTAAATTAAGTATCCATGGCAGACAAAACCAACCTTTTCTTTTGCCTCCACGACCAGTTACATCAGCACTGTTGTGTCTGCATCTCTCCAGATGATTGACGGGGAGGCCTTCCTCCTGCTGACCCAGACTGACATTGTGAAGATCATGAGCATCAAGCTTGGCCCTGCCCTCAAGATCTCCAATGCCATTCTCATGTTCAAGAGCACGGACGAGGGGCTCAAGTGATTTTGTCCTTATTCACTGGGGAGTGTTGCGCCTGTCGATCATCATGTGCCAAATTCATTCTGTTGCAGGGAAAAGACCCTGACCCCGTTTTCATGTGTTTGACATCCTGAACCCATCAGAGAGAGAGAAAGAGAGAAAGAGGTTGAGGGGGATATAGGTAGAAATAAAGGAGAGGTTGGAAGAAGAAGGGACATTAGGAAATACAAATATCTTTAGGAGTAATGGAGGAATGCCATAAAGGCGACGAACAAATCAGTGTGAAGGTCGGAAAGAAGGAGGCAGAGGCAGCTGAGGGGGAACAGCAGATGTTTTCACAACTGGAATCTGAGTTGTCATAACCAAACCCCTGAATGTCACTGGCAGTTTTTCACATGTGCTACACTACAGTCTGTAGTGAAGCCTTAACGCTACAGTATGTAACTTAAGGTAGCACTAGTATGAAACTCTAAATCAGTCCACTCTGCTCCGCCCAGCGTTCCCTCTCCCTGCTCCACTATGCTCTTCTACGATCTGCTACGCTCCGCCATGCTCCGTCCAGCTCTTCAGGTTCATTTGCCCTCATGAAATTACAGTAAATGAGAATGCAACAAAACTTATTGATTAATCAGTAATAACTGAAAATCTTGGACTGGTTATTGATGCTAATCTCACTCAAAACCTTTTAGGAACTAATCTCTCTGCCAGTGCTGTTCAGTGAGTCTGGGTCACAGGAGGCTTCGACAGCACCTCTCCACATTAAAACAAGTTTTGGAGCAAAAATACTCCAATACTACAACAAAAATATTTGGAAAAGTGTTACATACTGCAGCTTTAAGTACATTTTACAGCACCTGTTTTTATGGTGACTTTAAATTACAAGGCTGAGTGGAAGTAATTGAAAAACAAAACCGTCAGCCAAGGTGCAAAAGATTCAAACCAGAGGAGTTGGAAGTGGAGGAGGATGGAAATATTGGGTTACCTGCTTCTGGTTCTTCAGCATCCTGCTGCTGCTCACATCCATGAAGCTGATGCCCCGAAACAATTATTGTCAGTACCTTTACTTCCTGAGTAAGAAGAGTTCCTATTCTGCAAGCTGTAACACAGACTGTTCTCCAAGCCTGACAGACTGAAAACAGCTTAGATGTGACCAAACTGTTACAAGTACCACACCCAGATTCTGACTAAATTGTCATTGCAGGGGGAAATCAGCAAAATAGAGAAAAACAAGGAAATACTGGATGTACTAATAGGACTAATCTATAGGACTGAGGGAAATGTGAAGGCTGGCTAAAAGGGAAGAGCTGGGAGGACTGTGGGCGAACGTTAAATGCAGTAGGCCAGTGAGGCTCCTACAAGCTTCAAGTTTTGTGCAATAGAAAAGTTGAGACAGAAGTACTGTATTCAATAACACTTAATATTAGAGCTTCTTTATGCTATCCGACTAATTCTAACACTGTAAAAGAATACAGTAGAAGTTAAATAAGCTTCTTTATTCAGACTGTAAAAAGCTGGAAACAGTTTTGCAGACGATAAGAGAAATCCTTGAGAACTTTTTAAAAGCTGAGTCAGAGAACAAACATAGTGTTTGAGTTTGTATTTGTATATGCAAAAAATCTTAAATTTGTTTATAACCTTTTTTTTGAAAATTGTTTTTTTAAAAGTTCTTAATAGATGAATAGGACACCTTGTCTCGTCAATTTAGCACAACTGTGAAAACCAAATGGATTCTGCACAAAGATTCCCACACTTGGTCACTAGAGAGTGCAAAAATCCACATTACTGCACTATAAACTTGGATTTGATATCGAGCCAGTGGAGCTCTCTGCAGTTTACATGTGATGGAAAATCCATTCAGTGTGTTTTTTTGAAATGTTTACATTTATGTCAGAATAGGTTAAAAATACTGTATGGATTTGATATTGTGAGATGAAAGTTATTTTAGGGGAATATTTTAAGGGCTTTTGAAATCTCAAGTATTCTTTGTGTGTCTCTCTGGTGGGATTTGTGAGTGTATGCATGTGTGTTCTTGTACTTGGTACATACTGAGGACCAAAAAAAGGTTTTTTTTTGTTTTGTTTTGTTTTTTTTGCTACAGAGTGAAGACATTTTTGGAAAGTGAGGACATTTTGGCCAGTCCTCACTTTCTGAAATTTCCTTTTGAGGGTTAACATTTGGTTTTAGGGTTCATGTTAAAATTAGGTTTAGTGTTAGAGTTAGGGGCTAGGAAATGTATTATGTCAAGGAGTGTCCTCACAAAGATAGAAGTACAAGTAAATGTGTGTGTGTGTGTGTGTGTGTGTGTACGCGTGCACGCCAGCGTGTGTGTTTCAACATACTCTTGGGTCACAAATGTCATTTACTCCATATGAATAATAAATGTCCAAAGCTGTCTTGTCTGATTACAGGCTCTTTGTCTTATTTGAAGGATCACACAGTGCGTTTCCTGAGCAGGTGCAGCAGCCCACTGCGTTACAGCCTATCATTGTCTATGAACTGACTTTTCTTATATCACATTCCTCACTGACTAATTGTCATCCACAGTGTTTCCACACCCTTTCTGCTTTCACTGCTTATCTTCATGTTCCAGAAACCGTCACCGATAACCCACTGCTGCAGCCAGACGTAGCAAAATGAAACTGATCAAGAAATAAGATTGTAAGGAGACTAGCCACTGTTGCTTTTAAAATAAATGTATGTTTATTTGCAGGAGTGGAAAAGTGCAAAAATGTTTTTTTAAGTTCCCCCTCCATGCAAAAGTGGTTTTGCTTATTGTTTCTTAAAGTGAATGTTTGACCTTCACTGTGCAGAACAACATGCGTTTTTTTTACATTTATTTGCTGACTGGGGAAAGTAGCTTAATATGCAAAGTACACAAGCGCGACATGCAAACCCATCATTTCTAGCACCCATACAATACACTGACTGTTCATAATCTCTTATGTCCAAAGTTTTGGAATAAAAATACTTCCCTAGCTATACATGTATAGAATCTGGATTTTTCAGTGAGGGAAATGGAGTAAATTTAAGTTTTTTTAGCTGGATGATTTAAAAGCTTATTATGGAAAAACACGTGAGAAATTATTTTTCTAACAAGAGTACTTTTGTAAGTCTTTAAACATTCTGGAGAAGGTCTTTCGGTAAAATTACTGCAGTAAGAGTAAAGATTACAATTATCTAAGTAAATCTATGAAGCCACTCATTTAAAAAGATGGTGAGAGCAACTTGTGTGTATATTATATTTTAAAACAGTTTGTCACACCCTGGCTTCAGCTTTAACACACAAAAATTTTATCAATCTTCTTATCTAACTCTTGAAAATAACAAGAAAAGGCATATCTACCTATCTGTTTTTTTTTAATACATCTTTATTTAACATCTGTTTATGGTGTTGTAATGCAACCTCCCTTGCCAGCTACTTGTCTTATTTGGAAAAACAGGCACAGGGTCTGGAAGTGCAATAGTTTTGAAGTCTGGACAGCCAGCCCCCACCTATTCAGACACACTATACACAGTCACTGAAAGTCTGAAGGCTTGCTCCGCCTCACTTCTAATCTCTCTTTTCATTAATGATTCACACTCTTCAAGTTGACCTTCCTTCAACATCTAACAAAATTAAGACCCGTCCTAGGAGCAGCTTCAGCCCTGAGCCTCCTGCAGCTCTGATACCTCTGTGGGTTGAGTCTCCTACAGACTGCATGCTTGCTAAACTTCTCATCCTGTGCACACAGGTGAGCAAACTGTAACTTTTCACACCGATCACCTGGTTGATCTGCTAGCGCCTGTTTATTCCTAAATTACAGACTACTTTCTATTGTTGGAGATAAGACATGACCTTTTGTAGATCTATGCAGTATTGTAGTGTTTTTAAAAAGGGCCAGTCAAGCAATTTGCTAGTATTGTGCTGCTGTGGTGCAATCTTAACTAATATTTAGTATATTGTAATCTCTGACTGTAATGCAGGCAAATGTTAAGGTAAGAGTTTATAATGACCTTAGGTTGTTGATCTCCCTGTGGTATCACTACTAGCTCATACATATTTCAGGCTGCGGTAGGTCTTTGTAGGACTTTGGTTGTGGTTTTTATTTTGAATCTGAGAAATATTATTTTACTCATTCAGATTACAAACAAATAGTGTGTCATTTTGTCAGCTTTAATGAAAACACAATATTAAGAAGGTTCTGAAGTAACTAGATAGTGAGTTTCTGTTTGATTGCTGGTATCTGGATGTCTGGACTGTACTATGCATGCAGTTTTCTTGAAAGAGGTTTTAGAGTTTGGCATTTCTGTCTGTTTCAAATGTGCAAAAGAAAACGATGCATTGTGGCAGATTTTTGCAGTTTGCAATTAGTGATTCAGAGGCTGCTGCTTGCTGAGGAATAAACTTTTGGATGGGGAGCAGCTGTTTGCCTTAGGAGGTTTTTCCTGAGTGGGATTGTTGCAAATAAGCATTTTAACATGCCTGGTGAAGATCACTGATAGGAAAAGATGATTATCTTATGATAACTGTCAAGTGGGTAATCGTTTTAACCTGTTGGCAAGTCCGCTATGGTTTTTTTTAAATTTATAATCCTTTGCAGTGAGAGCTCAGATTAATTCACCTTGACTTCACCCTGTTCCAGAAGAGCAGTCTTGTTTATGACTTGCAATAAGTGTTTTATCCGAACTGCAAAGAAAAAGGTATGGGTGCTTAAATTAACAGCAGCTTTGTTACTGCAGGATATGTTTGTTGGGGCAGCTGGATGATTTAATGTAGGTCTGTGTGGTTCCTAGATGTCTTTGTTTCACAGCTTTATAAAATAGTATGTGAGTGAGACCTTGGTCATCCTGTGTGTTTTGTCAGATATGAGAGTGACACAGCAATATTTATCATCCAAACATGTTCACTGACACATGCGTGCACACACACACATCCTTGTTTTTGTCACTTAAGAGGTGTTTAAGTGACTTCCATTAATTTCCTAATCCTAACCTTAACCATAACCACTGTGTGATTTATGAGGAAGGTTGAGTCCCCATAACATGAGTATGTAAACAGGTTTTGGTCCTCACAGTGTGAGTTATTTAGGTGGACATTGCAACACACAATGTCCTTCATTATGTTTCTGATGCAGCTTGTTTTCTACAAACCAGAACAACCAGCTCCTCTAGGTCGTCTGGTGTTCACACTGAGGTCAGCAGATGATTAGAAAAATCACGTAAACTCATGTTTCTATCTTTACGAGGACAGTCATTGATATAATCCATTCTCTAGCCCCTTACCCTGCCCTACTCTTCACCTAACCCTAACCTAAACCTAACATCTTACCTGAACCTGAAGACCAAGTCTTAATCCTTAAAGTGAGGACTCGCCAAAATGTCCTCATTCTGCAGCAAGTGCAAGAGCACACACATTTTCATAATTTCAGGGGACATTACACTGACTCGCATTCATTTCCTGGAGACTAACCGTAACCTAAACACATAACGACTGTCTCTCACCCTAACCTTAAACAGCATCATCACTCAAAAATGAAGAACAGAGGAGGTTGAAGAGACAACGTTTGATGCGTTGAATCCCCGGCTGTTCTCCAAAGTCCTGCATACAGTCATTACTTCTCCTCTCCTCTTACAGGTTTGTCAAAAACTGATGCTGAGTCTCCAGTGACAGTGGAATGGATAAAAGCCATGGCACATTGTGACGTGAGTGTATTTTTATCTTTGTACTTGTCTGATATTTTCTGTTTTATGTTTACGTGACGCATTTGCTTTATTTAATTTTGAGCCAGTGCCTGTTCAACGCTGTGACAGTAAACATGCCAACAGCCCAGTTTATATTCCAAGTTTTTTTTTAAAGATTGTTTCTTTAACAAATATCTTCATGTGACTCAAATGTTATTGGCAATACATGTGGGTGATCTGGTGTATTTTTAGTTGTTTGTGTTGTAGCTTAGGGAACTTAAAGTCATTTCCTGGAATGTAATGGATCTATCAAATAGTGAGATGTTTTCATCTGAAGTTCTGTAGTTACACAATAATCATGCAGTGTGACTCAGACCTTCATGCCATTATCTTCAGGCCTACTATTCTTTGCTTTATGTTGCCTTGTTACTATATTTGCATTTTATTAAGTCCCCAAAATGATACGATGTGTTAATCTAATATTTTCAAATTGAAAAACTTTTCAGGGGAGAATCGTTTCTTTCCTTCTGTTTTGTCTCAGCTGTATCCGACAATGAAAATTTGAAAATACAGCATTTTGTTTTAAGTTATGCTTTTAATCCACAGGAGTAAAAGAGATATTCATACACAAAAAATTGTGCTTTTTGCAAAATTAGGAACCTGGAAAGACCAGACAGTTGAAGAAAACTGATGTTTAGAAAAAGGGTTACAAACGCTCTCTCCACCTACCTAAACTCAAATTTTAAGTGTAGTTCATTTGGCAAAAAAGAGTCAGTATACACAATAAAGTTAAAGATGAATTTTATATCATTTTTTGCTTTTTTTCAGATATTCTGTAGATTTGTAGTCAAGATCTGCTATTGTGACAGCCCTAGTGTACACATAGAAATAACATTTTTAGACTTATTGTAAACAGTGACTCACTTAAATGACGCCACTGTTGAAAGGTGCAAGTGAATGAAAATGAAATACCACTTATTCATGGTTTATGTAGCTTTATTTAGACAAATGAAGACAAATGTAGTTATACTTGTTTTTTAAACAACATATGTTTATTCCCTTTTTCAGTTGCGGTTACCGTCCTCCTCTCCTGTTGATGTCGTCAACCTGGGACCTTCAGGAAACCCACAGTCAGTAGTTCTGCTCTTATTGATCAGCATTAACTATCTTCACTGTCAAACACCGAGGACATTTTTTAAAATTGTACAGCTACGAATCCAGCAAAAAAAACTAGAACTGCCTTTGCTGAAAGGGTGTTTTTGTTGGCCTGGATGAGACATTTCCAGAGGGGAAAAAAGTGACTCAGTTTGGAAAAAATCCCACAAACAGCCTCTTTAATGATATAAACATTATTCTCTATTTACTGTATAAAAATACAGATTACTGAGGGGAAAGGCCACTTCTAGAAAAGGATGAATTTAAACAACTAACTTTTCATTTATTTATTTTTTGCTGGTGACATTTCCACTACTTGTAAGCTATTAAAAATACAGTGCTTCAGTGCATTACTCTCTGTCTTGTTTCAGTGCCAGGCCCACTGACTTTGACTTCCTGGCTGTCATTGGCAAAGGGACCTTTGGCAAGGTAACACAAAATCAGTTACTGTACCTATTTATTGATGTTGGCAACAAAAAATGACTGTGATCCTTTTGGAATGACTTACATTTTTGTATAAATTTGTCTTAAAGTATGGTCAGATCTTCATCTAAGTAACAATTGTGAACAACACAATCTATTTCAACTAATGCCAAAGTCATTGTGTTGTTTGTCCATATTGATTCCATTGTTAAAACATTCTCAGACTAAGCTGGGGAAAGTGTGTAAACCCCTAGGCTAACCACATCAACAAAAGATAAGTCAGAAGTTAGTCAACCACAGGTGAATCCCAATTCCCTTATTTTATCATTCCTCTGTCCTCACTCAACCCGGAAGTTGTTCTGGTCAACCGTGATGAAGGATGACCCAGAGCTCTTATTTGTGCTCCGAGGAGCAAAAACCTAGGCTTGAGGAGGCTGCCCGTAGGAGATATAACCGAGGATACAGGAGTGCATCCTTGCTGAAGTCTGTTATAGATGGACATGCCCCTTTATTTGAAATCAGTTTGTGACCGGAGGCTTCACATAAAGCGTTGGAGAAGAAGACGTCTCATGTCAGTTAAAATGTGTTTCTTCAGTTCCTCTCTCCTTGCAGTTTGTTTTTGCATCTTTTTCTTGCAATTTACGTGAACGAGAGTAAGACGCAAGGAAAAGACACAAGTGAGGGAAATGTGGATGCAATTAGGGGAATTGGGATTCACCTCTAGAGTCCACTCAATGAAACAAGTATGTATGGGTGTGTTAGAGCTGCTTTGACTTATAAAAAGCACTCCAACATTTTGAGTTTGCTTTTCACAAGAAGCACCCGTTGTTGTGAATTACGCCCCACAAAAGAAGCTCCCAGAAGACTTACAATAAGAAATAATTTGCATAAAGCTAGAAATGGTTTAAAAGTCATCTCAGAGTTCTGATCTTCATCAGTCAGTCCACAGTTAGGCAAACTATAAATGGAGATGATTTAGTACAGCTGCCACTTTCCATGAGTCTATTAGACACAAATCACAGTGCAGGGTGTCTGTTGCAGGAAACTGCTTGTCTACAAAAAACAAAATATCACTGCACTCCTTAAGTTAACACTGTGATACTCCGCAACACTTCTGGGAAAATGTTTTGTGGGCTGATGAAACTAAGGTTGAATTGTTTGTACCTATGCATGCCATAAAGATTTGCCATCTTTTTTTAAAGTTAATTTGTCAGGCTTTTGTACCTTTTATTAAGCCAGTTGTTTTACAGCGAGGCAGATAGGAAACAGGGGAGGAAGAGATCTATGACAGAGCTGTCAGGGTCGAGCTGCTGATGTTGCGAAGCCCCCAGGAATTATATGGTGCCCAGTGCCGTAACCACTTGGTTAAGGGGCACCCTGAACGTTTGCCTTCTTTGAGGGGAAAATGAAATGTTACGTTTATTAGGATCATGTAGGGATGGCTGTTGCCAGCTGAAGCTCAGTGGAAGTTGGCTGATGCAGCAGGTCAGTGACCTTAAACACAGAAGGAAATCTACTACAGCATGGCTTCAGACTAAGAAAACCCACCTTTTGGAGTGATCCAGCCAGAGTCCAGATCTTAAGCCAGTAGAGATGCTGTGGAGTGAGCCAGTCACACCAGATATCCTACGAATATGGCTGAGCTGATGCAGTTTTGTAAAGAAGAATGGTCCAAAATTCCTCCTGAACATTGTGCAGGTCTAATCTACAGCTACTAGAGGCACTTGGTTGTGGTTATTGCTGCCAAAAGAGCTTTAAATGCTCCTCTTTCACTATGTGTAATGGGTGTGCTCAATATAGATCAATACACAATAATTATTCTCATATTATTAGCCTAAGCACCTTGTGTTTGTACTTATCACGTACTGTAGATAAATAAATAACCCTTTAGGAGACATTAATGGTAGGTCATACAGATTAAGAATGACTGTGTGGATGCCTTTAACAGGAACAGCTTTATTATACTGACCTTGTAAGACAGAAGAGAGAGAATAAGAGAGCGAGCGATAGTGAGCTGCTGCTGACTTTGCAGACAAGGTCAGAGAAAGTAACTGCTGACTACTGCCTGATCAAAATATCCGGCCTGCTTCATGAATCATTAACTTTGCACAGCACTGAGGCCTTTTAATGTTACCTGAGCATCAGCCACTTAATGGAACAGCAAAATACTAAAAAATAAAATGGCCTCAAGGCATCCACATAATGTGATTTCTTTCCTTTGCCGGCAGGCTTTTATTTAGTTAATATAATGTAAAGCCTGGGTTTCTGGGGGCAATGCGGGGCGATGCCCAACCTTTTTTTATTCTATCAACACTTTTCTCAGATTTCTCAGTATCATCTGTTTCCAACAATCCCTTTTTTGTGTTGTGTGCACTTTCTCAGAAGAGGTTCAATGCAGTTTCCTGATAGCAGTGTGTTGTGATGATGGTGCAGACTTTATTAACCAAAGCACTATAAACCTTTATGCAGGTCCTGCTCGCCAAGCTCAAAGCAGACAATAAATTCTACGCTGTCAAAGTGCTGCAAAAGAAAGTTATCCTGAAGAAGAAAGAGGTGAGGCTCTGCTTTGCAACTATTCTTTTTTTGTGACATTTATAATCACAGCTGTTCCTTTCTGAATTTATATTTTTCTTCAGCAGTTTGTTATAAACCCAACCTCCACTCTAACACAAACCAAACCACAATTTAAGCTTTAAACTGATACAAGATCACCAACTACTAAACCTTTTTATAAACATTATAACCAGCATATTTCGAATGACACAGTACTCTGTCATGCTCGGCTAATGTTGATGATGGTGGAAAATATCTCAGCTTGAGCCAGGAGGAACGTGTGTGTGCGTCTGTATCTTTGAGTGTTATTGTTAAACAGTGTTTTGACCCAGCAACACAATCTGAATCTTATCTAATCTACAGCTTGTTCTGTACAAAGGACAGATTTTACGACTCCCAGAAAATCAACCGGGCCACGTCAGTGTTTGTCTGACAACACAGTAGGAATATCTGATGAGACTTGTCGTCATTTGGAGTACTAGCTTCTGCTCAAGTTGAGGTGTTATGTGTGTTTTTAGACCATAGATTGCTGGTCTCTTTCATTCATCTCTTTTAGTCTCAAACTTTCTGATGCTTCAGATAAATAATTATATTTAAATTGTAAATCTCAGAAAATGGTTAATACAGTCATGTACTGATGGAATCACTGCTGATGTAGCTGTCAGTCTCTCACCTCCTTTAGTTTTGTCATACTCATGTTGTTTTTCATAGAGTTGCACTGCACATTTCTGTGTTCACTGGCTGAGAGAATTGTGATTTACTTCACTTCCAAATTCTTTCCAAAGAACTTTAAAACATTTGGTATTTCCTTAAGACTTGTGTTCCAGTTAGGCAGGTAGCGTTTGCTGGTAAGAAGGATCCGGAGACCAGAGCTTGTCTTTTCTCGTTTTATTCCACACACACACACACACACACACACACACAATAACAGGTGCAACTGCACAAACATAACACACTCTCTGACTAACCTCGCCAACTATACACACACTGGCCCAGGAATTATGGGGCATCCTGCCAAGTCTCTCTCTGCCCTCCCAGTGCTGCAATGTTTTAACCAAACTAAAAACTCTTATTGCTAAAGACTGTTGAAGGACAACTTTAAAGCCGTGTGAAACCTTCTCAGTTTTGAACGTGACAAATGTCATTACATTATTTTAAACTTATAGTTTGAGATATTAAAGGAAACACTGTTAAAGAGGAAATGTGCTTGTTTACACTGAAAATGATAATCCAAACTGCAGACACTCAAACTCAGAGTATACAAAGATTTAACAGATGAGAATATCTGCTGCATTGTTCAGAGCTAAAGCACCATAAGAGCAATGGTAAAGTATGTAGTGGTAATACAAATAAACACTCCTCCAGAAAGGACACATTAAATGTCATCTGAGCTTTGCCAAAGAGCAACTGGAAGATTTGGAAGCCAAATGTAAAAAGTTGCTATGGTCAGATGAGACCAAAACTAAACTCTCTGGCTTCAGCGCCAAACAGTACATCTGGCAAAAAGACAATACAAGTCACCAGCCAAAGAACACCATACAGTACCTACAGTAAAGCATGGAGGTGGTAGCATCCTGCTGTGTGGGTGTTTCTCTTCAGCAGGGACTGCGGCAGTTCTCAGGATAGAAGGGAAAATAGATGGGGCGAAGTGCCATCAAATTGTTGAGGAAAACCTGCTGCCCTCTGCTACATAGCTAAAGATGGAAACACAGTTCTGCTTTCAACATGACAGCAACCCAAAGCACACAGCCAAATTGAGCATACAGTGACTGAAGGACAAAAAGGTGACATGGCCTAGTCAGAGCCCAGACGTGACCCCTATTGAGAATCTGTGGAATGACCTGAAACCTGCAGCATGTCAGAGGTCACCATCCAATTTGAATGAGCTTGAACAGTTTTCTAAGGAAGATTAGGCAAACATTTCTCAGTCTAGGTGTACAAAGTTGGTAGAGAAGTTTATTATTATTTTTCAGAACTGTTGATATTTTTATCTTTCACTCATATGTTGTAAGCTGCATTGAGTAATGTTTTGTTGTGTTTTCATTTCAGGCTGTGAAATGTTTTGAAGTGAGTGTTTTGAAAGGGGGTGATTCTTTTTTATAGCCACCATTTTGTTTTTTCTCTCTTCAGCAAAAGAACATCATGGCAGAGAGAAATGTGCTGCTGAAGAGTCTGAAACACCCGTTTCTGGTTCGGCTGCACTACTCCTTTCAGACCCCAGAGAAACTCTACTTTGTCCTTGACTATGTAAATGGGGGAGAGGTGCGTGTCTTAAATAGAACATAGAACAGACATTATTTTCAGAAGACTTCACTGGACTTTGGCTGCTTCCTCCTGCTTCCAGTCTTTATGCTAAGCTACACTAACTGGTTGCTGGCTTATATTTAACACAGGGTGGTATTGATCTTCTTAGAGAACTCTCCACAAGAAAACAAATAGGTGTATTTTCTGAATTATCATCTCATTATCTTCTAAAACACATCCCCATGTAAACTCTTGTAAATATGTATGTATTCCTTCAGACTTATGTAAGTTTTTAAGACTGTGTTTATTTTGCTTCCTTGTTCAGCTGGGAGCAGCAGTAAGTGTCTTAATAAGTACTACTTTATCCACACAAATAAAATCAGACAGGCTGTTGGCATGAAGCCAGCGGACATGCTTTTGAGCCGCTATGCTGATGGTTAAGTGTTTTATCACAGACCAGGGTTGAAAGATTTTTTTCTTAATATTTAGTTTTGCCTGATATGTGTGTAAGTAAGTGTACTGTCTCTCCCTCTGTCTCTATTTTTCATTTCTGCCCCTTATCAACTTGTCATTTTTATTCCTCCCTCCATCCTCTTCATGCTCTATCTATCCATCCATCTTTTTCTCTGTCTGTAGTTGTTCTTTCACCTGCAGAGAGAGAGGTGTTTCTCTGAGCCCAGAGCGAGGTTCTACGCCGCTGAGTTAGCGAGCGCCATCGGCTACCTTCACTCTCTCAACACCGTTTACAGGTCAGATGACAGTCTCACACATACACACTCATAAAATATTAGATACATTCACAAATGAATGATAATCTGCTCATTCTTGTTCACTGTAGAGATCTGAAACCAGAGAATATTCTTCTAGACTCTCAGGTAAGTCACTCAACACATTTGCTTCAATGCTATCTCCTTCAGTGTTATTACAAAATGACTGTTGTGTGAAGGATGACTACTTACGTTCTGTGTGTGCAGGGGCATGTGGTGCTCACAGATTTTGGGTTGTGCAAAGAGGGCATAGAGCCGGAGGGAACGACCTCGACTTTCTGTGGGACTCCAGAAGTGAGTTAAAAATATAAATATAACTGAAGGGATAATCAGAAAATAAAACCGTAAATCTGTCATATAGCATTATGCTTAAAGTAGACTGATCACTTTTTTCCCTCAGTTAATGAGTGGAATTGACTCTACTGTGGCAGTAGTGCCACTTTTTTTTTTTTTCCCCAAACTTTTACCAGTCAACTCAAACCTACTGACCTGAAGTCAAGTCATAAAAGTCAGCTTTCCTCCTCAATTGTGTCACTCTTACCTTTTCTTCTCTTTTATATCCGGCTCTTCGTCTGCAGTACTTGGCTCCAGAGATTCTTCGTAAGGAGCCATATGACAGGACAGTGGACTGGTGGTGTCTGGGCACGGTGCTCTATGAAATGATCTACAGCCTGGTAAGTGTGTTTGCCTGTGGCTCATTTATCAGTTATGCGACATGAGCCAGTGACATTTGGAAATATACAGACATAGTGCTTCTTGTGGTTGACCTTTAAAAGAATAGTTTGACCTTTTGGCAAATAAGCTTATTTGCTTTCTTGTCGATGGTTAGATGAGAAGATATATACCTCTCTCAGGTCTGTGTGCTAAATACGAGGCTACAGGAAGCATCTGTCTGATTTAGCTACTGTATGCACAAAGTCTGGAAAAAGCAGGAAACGGCTACAGTAGCCTGACTCTGTAAATCCACCTACCAGCATTTCTAAAGCTCTCTAAGTACCACATTTTGTTGTTGTTTAACTGATACAAGAGCCAGGGTGTACACACAACTATTGTGTTTCCAGTGTTTACACTAAGTTAGACTGCTGCTAGCAGTAATTTCATATTTACAGTGGTATCAATCTTTTTTTCCTCCTCTAGTGTCAAGGCATCATGGAAGGCTAAAAGTAGATCAATTTAAGTATTTTTGTTTATAAGTAAGACAGTTGGCTTGATGGTGGTGCTAGAGGAATGATCAGAGGATTATTAGACAAGGTTTGACTTACATGCATGTACTGTAACAAGTCCAAATGTACTATTTGGTGAGTGATACCATAGGATCAGATGCCCAAGAGAAGTTTCTTTACAGGTGAACATACCTATCAAACACTAGGTCTGTTTTTCATGCAGGATATGCTGCATTGCATTCTAACGATGTCCATGCCCATTCCTTTGCTCCAGCCTCCTTTCTACAGCTGTGATGTTGCTGAAATGTATGACGGGATCCTCCACAAGCCACTGCCACTGCCTCCAGGGAAGTCTAATGCCGTCTGCGCTCTGTTGGTGGGCCTTCTGCAAAAAGACCCGCACAGACGCCTTGGGGCTATCGCTGACTTTGTGAGTGTGCTATGTTAAAAAATATTTAACCATCAGTGCACATTAAAACATATCATCTCCCAGACATGGAATAAGCCTAGTCTTAGAAAAAGGATATTTTCCAAAGGACAATTGGATTTAATTTTACTTCAATTGTAGACCAGGTTTATTTCCAATATGAGAAAATAGCCCCTAAACATATAAAACACTGTTGGAGGGGTTTGACCTTTTGTTGAGCTGCTCTGCATCCACTCACTGTGAGAAAGTTTGAAATGATACTTGTTCAGTGGTTTGCTTTCAAAAAATGTCTGAATTCTTAACATTAATATCAGTAAACTATACATATTTAACTTTTCTTTCTTTTATTTATAGCTAGAAATAAAGAACCACGCCTTTTTCTCTCCAATCAACTGGGATGATCTTTACCATAAGAGAATCGCTCCCCCTTACAACCCTAACGTGGTGAGTTCAGGCTGGCTGTGCAATGTAACTGCTGAGGTCTTTACATACTGTATGAAATCTGCTCCTGCACTCAGTCTTCTGTCAGCCAAGTGTGTCTGTCTAGACATCTGCTCAAATTTCACCTCCACGGTCATTAAACCGACCTCGAGGTGTTTTCACTCACAACATGTTTTCCAGTGGGATCAGCCAAAATCAACCCCTATTGTGTTCTTCTTTATGTCTCAGGCACTTTACATATTTTCTTTAATCCTTTCTCCCAGATAGAGAGGTGACAAGAGTTCACCGGTTCAGCCTTTTTATGAGGATTCATGTTGTTTAATGCAAGCAGCTTCCTTTGACTTCTTTCACTATTGGTTGGTTTTATTACTTTATTTCAAATCGTCCCTCACCGCTGATCATGTCTGTCATAAAGGCCCAATATACCTGTAGGCAAAGTTACAGTTTGAAGTTCAAGTCTGACATAATCTGGTTTGTTTTTCTTTTTTTGTCAATAGTGTTGTTTGAGGGTTTGTCGCTGGACTCTTTTTTTGTCTGTTCAACCACAGTGGCTATTGGTCATCACTGTGTGTATTTTCTTCTTCTTTAAACATAAGAAACATCAGTTATTGTGCATCAAAATGTTTTTTTGTAACATAAATGTATTGAGTTTGGAAAGTACTTGCCTCTGTGCTTAGTGACTATTATTTATAGTACAGTAGAAACAGAAAATATTTAATTCTGATCTAGTGTCTAGTGAATTTGTTTCCAGTTCCTCAAACATAGTTTTAATGTTGCTTTCACAAAGACAAACCATTTTAAATCAAACTAATAGTCAGTATAGTGAGATGTCTAAATTCACTCATTTGCACATAATTGTAAAGTTCTTCATTACCTGAAGTAGGACTAATTTAATATAAATTCTGGGTAAATTAGTACTTGTTTCAAACTAAAAAAAACTGCATAGACCCCTTCTCCCTTCACACAGCAAAAAATAATCAGGTTCATGAAGCATTTCTGTGAAACTAACTTGCATTAAACTAGAAAAAAAAATTAAGGTTTGTCCAGCACTATAGACAAGTATAATTATTACAGTATACCTTTGTCAATGTGCACAGCATATTCACCTACAAGAACTATAAAAACAGTACTGATGTGTAAATTCAGGCTACTGTTTTCGCTGTGGCATTAAAATGTGATGGTGCTCCCCTTAGGTTTTCTCTTGTTGAACATAGAAAATCTCCCAAAGGAAACCTTCACCTCCACCTCATCTGTTACTGTCATGTCAGGACATGCATTATACATAATACATAGTCACACATATACACTTAAATAATTGTTTCATCTTTCAGAAAGGCCCAGCTGACACTCAGCATATTGATCCAGAGTTCACCAGAGAAATGGTTCCTACCTCGGTGAGTCGGACCCCGGAGCTCGCTGCCAGCGCCAGCTCAAGTAACGCCTTCAATGGGTTCTCCTTTGTCGCCAGCGAGGACAGCTTCCTGTGAGACGAAGGTCCCGACAGTCAGATTTGAATGGAGTGATTGTACCTCTTCTGAGTTTAGATGTCATGCTCGGCCACTGCAGAGGTTTCACCAGCATGTGGGGCTGAATTTACACAAATGATGTTTTAAATTGTTTTATACACAGACATTACTGTGGTTTGACTTTTTAAAAAGAAAATGATCTCCTTGCGTACATCCAGACTTTCTCACTGATCCTGTTTTTATAGAAAACTGAATGAACATATTTTTTACATAAACACTAGCACAATTTTATGAATGTCAGCCAACTTCACTGCAGAGTGCAAATTTATGGTTATTTGTTATGTGGACCATTGTTTTGTCTATTGTAACTGAGGAAGGTCCTCATATATGTTTGTCTGGAGATTATTTTAGTCTGTAGATGGCAGACAGCAATATTGATTAGCTTTATTTTATGGTATGTAACAGGCTAAAACAAAAAATACTGTATTGAACATCTGTAAATATACAATAGTAGCTTTGCAATAGGATTATGTACTGTAATGTGATTATATAAACCACAAAGTGCCTCTCTGTTTCAGAAATTAAGTTAGTGATGGTTGGTGTTTGATGTTGGCAGTGATGGGTGTGTATCTGACGTCATTTTATTTTTATCTCATATGCACTTAGTCTTATTTTTACATCTGTTATTAAAGAAGCTTCAATGTGTTCCCATTCTTAAAGATAGCCTGTTATGTTTTGGCTTCTTAAAGATTTTTTTACAGTTGTAATTTCACAGAATGGTGTATCAGATGATTTTCTGAGAAGCCAAGTACACTAACAGGGAAACAGCTATTTATTTCATTGGAAGACAGCTTTAAATTCTTTCTTCAAATGGCCTAAATGATTAATGAAGGAACACTCATGCGCTGACAAATGCTGCTCTGACCCTCCTTGTTTACCAATTGCCTTTCAAAACTAACCTTGTGAAGCTGTTTTTCCCCGAGAGGCTGACGTTACAGTCAAGTCACTCTGCCAGTAGTTGTGCCAACAGAAGTAAAACTGTGTACACAGGAAACTTGTTAATGAATCAACATTCAAAACATTGACATGTTCTTCTGAATGAACCATTAAACATAAAACGTGTCATAATAGAAACAATCTTTTTAGTCTTTAACCAATCAGTGACTAGCTTATAAATGTTGCATGTGATGAAAAATCACTGCACCTGTGACGTGTGTTACTGAAAACACAAGACCGGATTTAAGGAAGCACACCTCAGTAAAAGCTAGTGTTATATTTACTCAAGTGCTGTATTTAAATACAGTGGTACATGGTATTTGAATATTTCCACATTTATATTATTTTATACTTCATCCTCCACTATATTTGTTTGACAGATTTCAGAGTTCAGACAACTTTATTAGTTATAAGTGCAAATTGTTTCCCACAGTTTGCAGATGATTTTTCACATAAAGCATGATTAGCTTTTAAAACAGGATACATTTTCCATGGAAAAAGAATAGAGACAAGTTTTTCCCAATTCTAGTGCCGTAACCTTAAATATTCTTATTACACTGTGAGATACAGTTTTTAGGACTCGGTTATAACCAGATGTGTTTTTGCAGATTAAATAGCCCAGCAACATGTTAAGCTGTTCCACCTCAACCAATTACAACAGAAATGCTGCTCAAACAATTGCATTAGTGATAAATATCATATTGAGTACTTTTACTTTAAGTACATTTTGCTGATAGTACTTACACATAAGTAAGATTTTCAATGCCAAATGTTTACTTGTAATGGAACATCTTTACATAATTTTACAAAAATTACATGTGTGTGCTTCTGCCATTTGAAAACCACTTCCTCATTTTTTTCTCTTTCAAATAAGTCTTCAGACATTGGATTACTTGATTAAAATTAAAGTAATGATCAGTAATGAATACATATTGGAAAAATGTTTCATATAAAACAATGTTGAAAAAAGTTGTTAAAAGCTGATATGGTTGATTTGAACCTACATTTTGTTATGACTGTTTTGTCTCTTTTTCATCACTGTATGTCACCAGTTTTATCACTTTGTTTTATCTTTGCACAATCTCACTATCCAAACAAGCCATAACATGCAGTAGTCACCTTATTCAGCAGACAACCATCATTTTAAATTTTCCAAAGTGATCAAAATGTCAATTATTAATCCTAACAATGAACATTTTACCGGTAGGAAGTAGACAGATGAAGAGATGAGACATTAACAGCTGAACAACTGTAGAACTGCCCCACATAGTGTTCAAAATGAGAAACACAGCACATGAAAAGGCTGTGATCAAATTTAATGCAAATGAACAAACTGAAGTCGAGGGAATATTATCCACACATGCAAAACTGTGTTACAGATATGGCATCCCACGTTGTCATTACTATTATGTAGGAAATTAATTTGACTTATTTTATATGAAGAAAGTAGCTTTAATTTGACATTATGGTGCAAATGCTGTGTCGATAATAACTATTCAAAATATTTTCTTTTCTTTTCTCTGGAGAGCCACACTGAAAGATATTAACCACATTGTTAGAAACAGTTTTTAGTCATGGATAGATTACTGAACAGGCCTTTTGGGAACAGGCCCAAGGTCCCAATGGTTTAGGGCACCCCTGGACCAGAGCCTCTAATAGAAGTGACTTTTAATATTCTTATTGGAAAGTCAATTAAATGGCTCCAAAAAGGCAAAAAACAACTACAAAGAGACACAAAGCAACAACAAATAGACAGTGCATGCAAACAGAAACACGGGCTTATTTACATTATTGTGAGTTATGAAAAAATTTGAGTACTTAAAAGTTTATATAGCCTTCTACTAATGCATGGTAAATAAGGGGACTTACAGTGTAAAAATAAAAGGATGCTTACATGGATTAATCAAAATCTAACTTGACATTATTTTGTGAAAATTATTTTTGTTACCACGGATGAAAATGGCCTATTATTACACTGTTATCATAAAACAAGATAGCCCGTTATTTTTTACACACTTATGCAATGGATCAATGTATTTTCTGGTATTATTCAACAGCTTTTATGATATTCTGTAATCTTAAAATCCCACTTTTCTAGCTGCTACCACTTTAAATCTAAAACTGTATTATTCCATTTAAACACATTTTGCTATCTGAATGGACAGTTATTTTATATAGAAACGCTGAGGCCTTTATTTAAACTCAGAATATAGTGCTTAGCAGTGCTAACATACAGCTAACGTTAGCCTAGCAGAAATAAGCGATCCACCTGTAAAGTCATGAAGGGGTTAACGTAGTTAAATTAAAATAGCTATGTCTTTACACAGCAGTAAATACAAAGTAAACTGACACTGGTCACTTTTAAAAACATATTTATTACTGTTAATGTCAGAAGGCAAACCACTGAATCTACTTGGGTAACCGTCAATCACGCTGCTCGTTTCCGGGGACTGTGTGTTACTGTGCAATCATTGTGTTCTTGAACAGACCTCATTTCCAATCCCGGGAAAATTTCTACTGGTACAACGCCACAAGTCCCTTAATTGCTTCCTAATTTGAAGAACTAGCACACATTTCATTAAACGCATGTTTCTCGGTCTTTGATATATTCCTTAACCGACCTTTTGTTTTACCTAACGTTATACTAATCCGGTTAGCCGCCTCAGTCTGCACCTCTGAGGCAGACAGAAGAGGAGGGATGTCACGCGGGTAAGTGTGGGAACGCTTGTGGATGCTACATTATCTTAATTGAGGAAAACGTGCGTTTGTGCGATGATCCGAATTAAGATATGTAACATCTATCATAATTTAACTGTAATTATAATTATGAACGCACGACAAGGAGTTATGTTGCTTTGTTGTACGTGAGAGAGTGTGAGTGAAATTTAGCTTCCTCTCCCTCATCTCAGTTAAAAGCCGTTGTCCTGTTGTGCCATGTTAGGGAGCTGGAAAAGCTGGACCCGGCTGTATTCCAGACGCAGTTACGCAATCTGAAGTTTAGGTAGGCATTTCTGTATTCTTCCTGCTGTCAGGTCGGCTAACGTTTTTTTGTTGCAATCACAAACATCGAACCCAACACACGAGATCTTTATTTTATTTTATTTCTATCGATAACGTTGAAAGACGGACAGGTTAGTTGTATTTGCGCTCATCGCCGCTAGAGGCGCTCTACTTTCTGAACCAACAATCAACGTTTCCCTCAAATGTGTGTTCATAGGAGCTGCTGTTAGCCAAGTTACAGCTAAGTTGGAATGTAAGTTATGCAGTCTGTTGTTTATTTGGTCAGGGGAATCTCAATAATTTTGTCTTGAGAGCTGCATGGAATTTTGATTTGATATATAGCTTAACGTTTCATATTTATGTAACTATTACAAATAATTGGTGTACAGCAGCTACTGTTAGCTACTAAGCTAACTTAGTTTTTTTGTGGAGCACAACGTGCGTGCTTGTTGAATAGGCAGCGCGACGAGAAGTGGAATAACGTTAGGCTTTGTATTTGTAGAAAAATATATGTTTTGTGACAAAGACAGTTTTAGACATGAGCTGGTAGCTAATCTTGCTAGTTACCTAGTAAGCTGTTTCATGGTTCATAGATGTTTTTCATCAGGTGAGGCAAAGCATTAACTTTAAACCATCGTAGACTTTGTTCCTAGCTGTTTGCAATATATGTGGCTTTCAACACTGGAACAGGGCAACATCTTGAGGGTACAGTGTTTGCATTACAGACCGTAATGGCAGGTCTGACATATCCCTGATAGCTGCTTAGTATTATCTGGGTTGTTGTTGTTTCTACCATAGACTTTGATACTAACTTGCAGATTATTTAAAATGTGGCAGAAGTGCACTATAGAGAGCTACTTTTAACATGCACAACTACCCAGCAGTGACGTGAAACGCAGTATCAGCTATGACATTCTAATACTGTTTTAATCTTGGGATTACTTTGAATATAGCATTTAACACACTTAATTCAAAGAGAGTTACATGTTTGCAGCTGTTTAATGCATTTATTTTAGGTTGTATTTGTTTTAATTAATATCATTTATTTGACATGAAATAATTAAAATTATACTTTAAAAAATTAACATTGTTCTAAATTCAATATCAAACATAACATACATTCATGTTACTCCATATTATGAATTCCATAATGTGTCTTCTCAGAGTTATATGCTGAAATTCAGTGATACATATTTGTTTTAATTATTGGTTACATGTGTTTGCAGCATGGAAGAAGAGGGGGAAAGAAATCTGTGCACTGACAGTGACTCGGACACAGCAGAGAAGAAGAATGGCACCAATTGTACAATCAAATGGACTCAGGAAGAGGTGATGACAAGAAGACTTGCAGCACAATTTTTTAATCACGGCACCCTGATGTTTACATTTTAGACACTCGCACAATTTTTTTAATCACGTCACCCTGATGTTTACATTTTAGACACTCATCTGATGTTGTTATGGGGAGCTACTCACTATAATTTCAAGCTGTTTATTACATTTGTGTCAGTTACTAAAGTGTAATGCTGCATGCCAGCAAAATACTGTGGTTTTCTTAATTAATTAATATGTGCAGGATGAAAATCTCAGAATCCTGATCAACAACTTTGGGAAAAAAGATTGGAAAACCATCGCCAGTTTTTTACCTGTAAGTACTCGCCTGAAGTAAAATCATTTGAGAAAGAGAGAATGAATGAATCAGCTATGTGATCATTTAAAGGTTAATAAAACAGAGGACAGCCACAGGGCTTAGAATTGGGTGTCTGTCATGTTGTTAAGTTTAAAATCTATTGGAACTGTTTTAATGTTGAATAATGCAAAAATCTGTCCTAGCATTTTAAAAAGAATAAGGCATTTCCTATTGATGTGACAGGGGCGGACAGAATTCCATTGTAGGCATCGTTGGAAAAAGCACCTGGATCCGGGTTTAGTCAAAGGTTACTGGTCCAAAGAGGAAGATGAAAAGGTGGAAAAATTACACCAGAAATGTAATACAGACCTAGCTTAAAACAGTTTTACTTATTGTTTGTCTCACTGTGTACTCCTGTCTTTACATATGATCTGGACAGATAATAGAGCTGGTGAACAAATACGGCACAAAACAGTGGACTTTGATTGCCAGGCACTTAAAGGGGCGGCTGGGGAAACAGTGCCGTGACCGCTGGCACAACCACCTTGACCCACTGGTGAAAAAGAGCTCCTGGACTGATGAAGAAGACATCATCATTTACAAAGCCCACTCCATTCTGGGAAACCGGTGGGCTGAGATCGCCAGGCTTCTCCCTGGAAGGTGGGCCAGTTAGCTGTGTTTCATTTGGTGAGACAGGCAGTCAGATACATTGGTTGGTTTTGACTCTTGACTCTCTTTTAACCATGGATGACGCAGGGACTTTGACTTAAATTTTTCTCTTGCAGGACAGACAACTCTGTGAAGAATCACTGGAACTGCACCATCAAACGTAAAGCTGAGCTGGGCCTGTTTAAAAGTGAAGCTGACAGTATTTCCCTTGATATTCAACAGTTTGTAGATGAAGAGGTACAGAAATACAAATAACATGTTATTATTTATATATATATTTCAGCACGGCACTTTAGTGGATTGGCATTGTATGTTGTGTTACAGGTGGACTTCAAGTGTGATGTCGTTTTAGACACTGAACCGGTGCTGCCTGAGGTGGTAAGCATGTTATAGATGAATTTCATTTTCTTTTTAAACTTGTAAACCTTTATTTATGAGGCGGTTTTGGATGACTGTCAATGAAAAGTTGCTTGATGTTTAATTTTCTCCCAAGATGTTTTCAGCTGGCACACTTGGTTTCACTCTTCTGCTCTTTGCTTTGCTGCAGATTCAGCCAGAGAAAGAGAAGAAACAGATGGAGCATCATAATGCCAAGCAGAATGTGGTTGTTCCACCTCCACATTCTTTGGCACCAAGGAGACGGTTACCCTCTCTCAGTCCCTCTTTGCCCCCCAGATTGAGTTCTAGTCCCAGTTCCAGCTCAGCTGCACCATCAGCAGTCACACTGGTGGACCAGAAAAAGTTTGCCGAAGCAGCACTGAGGATGATTGCTGAAGACATGCTGCCACTCAGGTGGGCTTGTTGTCTAAAGTTGCCAAAACACCCAAGTTTATAAATCCTCAAGTCAAAGAAATGCTGTCATGAGTCTGCCCTTCCTGGACAATGTTATAATTGGTGTTGCCGGTCTGTCAAGCAACTACTTCTGTGTATTTACTTAACTCATATTCAATGCATAGTCTCCTCCTATGTTTTCTGTTTATCTACAACCTCCAGTCACCAGTCTGGATAACACATGCACATAATTTGAAAGGTACAGTGCCAATGTAATTTCCCTTTGTTTTCTGCAGTTTTGTTGAAGGCGCCGGCTTCAGGTCATTCATGAGTACCATTAGCCCTGAATACCACAAGCTATCCCAGCGTGCCATGGGCCTGCAGCTTTATGGCGATGTGGAGAGAACCATCAAGCCTCAACTCATCCGTGACCTTAAAGCCAGCCTTTCCAAAACCAAAGATGGTGAGCGTGCCATTCACGTCACCTTTGACCTCTGGGCAGGCAATCAGTCCCAGTCACTGGAAGAGCCCATTGTCGTTGTGCAGCTCCACTTTATCAGTGATTCCTGGCAGATCCGCCGGCCTGTTGTGGCTTTCCGTCACCTCAGTTACAAGAACCTCAGCTGTGCTGTTGCTAAGGAGCTTGAAGGTGTGCTGCTGAGCTATGGCATCTTTCCTTGCAGCATCGGCTATGTTCTCGCCAACCAGGCCAAAGAAGCCCTGGCTGAGAACAGTGTTTTCTGCGAGTACAAGATCATGTGCCCTTCCAGCCGGGGAGAACCAGATGGAGATGAGATAGTGGCATTTTTGTCTGACCAGATGTCAGAAACCGAGTCCCCGTTTTCAGCACTAAACATTGGGACCAGGACCACCTGTGTGGCCAGAACACTGCAGCTGGTGATCAAGGAGGCCCTGAAGAATTCCAGGGTAGTGGAAAACCTGCTCTCACAGGTGCACAACGTGGTGGCTTTCTTCAGGAGCAGCACCTACTGGAGCGAGGTAGGAGAAGCAGACAGATTAAAATGTTATTCTCAAGTGTATTTTTGAAAAGGCACAGGTTGGCAAGTCTTGTTTTTCTGTTACAGATTTGATAGAGGTTAGAACCAAAATGAGACAACATCACCAGGTTGTCTTTTTAAAATGAAGTTTTATTATTCCAATGCAGTGTCCTAAAACAAGTGTTGGTCAGAATGTTTCATGAAAAGTCTCCAGCCAAAGTTGTGTATGACATCAGATAGATGTGCTTGTTTTTTCCTTGTGTAGACACATGTACTTGACTAATACTTCATTCTTTATTTATTCAGACATGACATATTCCTAGACATCAGCTGTATTGTTTATTTAAAGGTTTGTAAGCTGTTCATCGTTGTGAAATCACAGCTCAGACTTTGACATTGTGCTGTTTTTAAACTATTTAAACTATTCAATGTTAGTAGTGCTATTGTAATACAAATTGTTTTCTTTTTGAGGTAGAACTGCAGATTCAAATGCTTTTTTGGTTTTTATTTTAGTTTGTTGTATTATTTACCCCAATATGTCAGAGTCTCAGTGTTGGTGAAGCTCTGCTGTCACCACTGTTAATTCAGCATGACCATCTCTTGTAATTATTTTGTTTAGGTTTTGTTAAAGGAGTGCAACGTGTCTCTGTGCCCGTCCTCCAGCAGCTGTCGCTGGAACTCCATGATGCTCTCGTTACGCCGTATGGTGCAGGAGACTGCCTGGAGTGCCGTCATGACTGTCCTGGCCCAGGCTCGCATAGAGGCTAATGACACAGCCAGCGACCCACCTCTGATCATGGTCAAGAGGGAGCAAGTGGTTGACATCCTGGGTCTCCTTGAGCCCTTTGAAGAAGCCTTGCAGGTAAAAGAGAAAGGTCACAAGAGCTTTATGTAGTGGATTATAGTGTTTTATAGAACAGAGATTACCTTTAAAATTCTTCAATGCAATCATAGTAGATATTTTTTTTCCTGATATGTTTTTGACATTTTTGGACACCTACTCTTAAATTTTCTCGGTTTTCTCAGCTTTGCCACTTTTCTAAAGAACACATATGCATTATGGTGAATGCAGTAATGTTTCAACAGTTAATTTGTCATAGTCAGTTGTACATTGATCCTTGATTCTTTGTGAACTCCTTGGAAATTTTGTGTACACGTATAGAAATACAGTATTTATAGCTGGAGTGTTGTTTGTTGATGGTTATGTGAGAACATTTCCTTTTGCCACTTCTAACCAGGGCCTCCAAGGAAATGGTGTGACCATCTCTTTCATTATACCTTCCCTTGTTGGTCTTGATAAGACCTTGGAGAATCGTGTCACAAACTACACACATTTCAACAAGGCCCTGCGCGCAGGCCTGCACACACATTTCCAGTCTATGATCCACCAGAAGGACTTGATACTAGCTGTTGTGCTCGACCCCAGGTTCAAACTGAAGGTACTGAATTAGGATAGAAGCCTGGCTTTTTTTCATGCTTTGCCATTTTTGATGTTATTAATTTAATATTAATTTCTGTAAAACTCTGTGTTTATATTGAATACATCAAAGAAAAATTAGCAGTCAAAAGCTTGGATGTACTTTCCCATTGAATTGAATGGTAGTGTTAATTTGTCATAACTCTGACGATGACTGTAACATTTCTTACAGCCCTTTTCTGATGCCAAACTGGAGAACCAGGCAGGTTTCCTAACGCCTCCATCAAAACAGCAGGCTCATATCATTGTGGAAGCCGCATTAGGAACCATGGAGGCCTCAGCATCTCCCTGTGTGGAAGCAAATAAAAACCAGACAAGCAAGGAGTTTAAAAACGAAATGGAGAGCCAAGCCAACACACTAGTGGAGGCATCTGGTGCCAGCTCAGATGAAATCAACTGTGACGGAGTCGATGGAAACGTCCTCAAGCGCAAATCGAGCACCAGCATCCTTCAGCCTCCTGCAAAGGCCATGAAGATGTCAGAGCTTGACGCATACCTGTCAGAACCATTGTGGGAGAGTGGCTCCAGTGTGTTGTACTGGAAATTTGCTGATCGGTTTCCTGAGCTCCAGAACATTGCCAGGAAACTGCTGGCAGTACCAGCCACCTCAGGGGGCTTCGACCGCCTCTGTCCGATGGCAGCATGTGTTGTAAGAGCCAAGAGGAGCCGCCTGCCACCTCACACCACAGAGAGACTACTTCTATACAAAAACTCTTTAAAAACAAAGACTGTTAAAAAGCCCAGTGGTGTTGCTAAACACTGATGGTTGGGTCTGATGATTCTGGCCTATATCCAAAGAATCTCCATAATTGTCACAATGTATTAAACAAACTCAACACCCTTAACTTACTATAAATTGTGCTTACTCACTCAAGTGACACCATCCCATTCGATAAAATTTCTTCAGACATGATAGCACCATTTTAACATTGCAATGGCACACAACAGTATCAAAACAGAATTAATGGATCTTGCAAAGTGGCAGCCGGTGTCCTACCATCAAAGCTCACATCATACATTTTGTGACTGATGGAAGTGTTCAGAGGGAAAGGCAGCTTCTCTTTGGTCTTCAAACAAAGTAACTGGATGCATTTCCAAGAAACACAATAAAGAATTCTAAAAATGTCATACCAGATTACAATGCCTTTAGAAAATGGAGACCAGAAGAATGAACACATTTTTCTTGTAGATAATTCATCTCAAACTAAAATTTGTTTGCCTGAAGACTGCTCTTGCTGTCTTGTGACAAAGGAGAAAATGAAGCATCTGTGGTCCAAGTCCTTCTGTGAAGGATTTGAAATGTCCTGATTTTGACTCGTATTAAACCAGTACACACTGTTTTTATGCTATTGAAATAATTTTAAAGATGCTTCACTTAAAATACTGTACATCAGACCTTTCTCAGGATGCAGAAAGTGAGAACAAAGCTTGCCAATATCTAAAGTGAAAACTTGGAAGTGTTTTAATATTCAAAATGGTCTGAAGCCATTTTCCCCTGTTCACTCAACACAAGTTATTTGGGTTTTTTTTGCATGGTGTACACCAGGTGCAGATACACTGTCAGGTCACCTGTCAGCAAATTGAGTGAGACGCCTTTTCAGCATTTTGTAAAAGCCATTTTTATTATTAGCCTTTTAGAATTTGTTTATATTTCATCTTTTGGTCAATGATGCATTAGAGATGCACCAGTGGTTGCCTGGATGATTTTATCAGTTGTTTTTGCTCTTAGGTATATAGTCATTTCTGATGGGAGGTTGATGAGCATTTTCATCTTAGTTTGATATTAGACTGGCAAGGTTTAAAAAAAACCCTGAAGTTTACATTGAATAACAGCTAACTAATGTTATTGCAGTGATAATAGTTCATATTGTTCTAATAAACACTGGTGTGACCTCCTATGTCTCCACGTGAATAGCTAGAGAATGTAAATATAGCTGTTTTTCCTTTACAGCTTCCTGTATTTGTGGCTCAGTTTTCACATGTAGGTGTCCATTCTGTGTTTTGTAGCAGCACTTTCTGGGTTAGAATAAAACCAATACTGTAATCAGTTGAGAACAGTGTAAAATGTGGAAGGGTAGCTAATTCTAAAGTAGTTTATCCCAAGCATCCCTGACTAAAATATAGCAATTAAAAAATACAAAGATGGTTGTTGGAAACCAACATTTGATTTGAATTGTTTTAAGTATTGCACTGAAATGTGCATCCAGATACCTTATTAATGTTTAGGAAATGATTAGCATAGCTGTAATTTGTCATTTAAATAAAACAAGGTTTGTCGCAGGGAGGGTTTTATGGAGAATTATAACTCAAGGACAGTGAACTGGCCTAATGCATGGATGTAAGACAATCACGGTCTAATGATATTAGCTTGTAGTTGTCATCAGTGATTGGCTGGGCCGTCCTCCTACGTCAGACGGAAGCAGTGCGACAATTTGTACTTCCGGAGTCAGGACACTTCGCCTGCCATGTGTATGATAGAAAAACAGAGAAGGGGCTGATTTTATATAGGTTGAATGAGAAAATAAACGCGCTGCTTGTTCTCAGTTCGCTGCCGACGAGAGAAAAGGAAGTCTGAGCAGGCCGAGGAAGGGGTCAGACCAGATGTCAAAAGTAAAATAGCAACACTAGCGGCAAAAGTAGCGAGGCGGTCTGGTTTCTTAACTAAAAGCTAGTTTTAACATGGCTCTGTACGTGAACGCCGCAGAGATCCTAGAGAAAGCCGAGAAGAAGCAGGGCGCTTTGAAAACTCTGGTTTACGACAGTAAATTCCCGAATATCAAGCAGCTGTTCGCCCTGGTCTGTGAGACCCACAGGTTTTCCTCTGTCCTGCAGAAGATTATTGAGTCCACTAAGTTGCTCAAACAGACCAAGATGAAGATGCCCCTGGCCAAAGTGCTGGTGTACGACCTGGTGATGGGCCGGGGGCTCAAATGCGGCGGCTCCTGGAAGACCATGATGATGAAGCATCGCTCCAGGCTGCAGGCGGAGCTGGCCCGCATGAAGGTAAAGCAGAAGGTCAGCAGGCATGAAGACCTGCTCCCGGCCAGCGTCCAGCAGCTCACCGGGGACCGGTTGCCCAGGTATGTGCGTGTGAACACCCTGAAGACCACCGTGGAGGATGCTGTGGACTACCTGAAGAGGGATGGCTTCTCCTACCTGGGACAGGCTTCCGGACCGGATGACTTACCATTAAAGCAGAAAGACTTTGTGAGGGACCAGCACCTCCCGGAGCTGCTGGTCTTCTCTCCTAGAGCAGACTTCCATGACCACTTCCTGTACAAGGCTGGCCACATTATTCTGCAGGACAAAGCCAGCTGCCTCCCTGCCTATCTCCTCAACCCCCCACCTGGCAGCCATGTCATTGATGCCTGTGCCGCCCCCGGTAACAAAACCAGCCACCTGGCAGCCATCATGAAGAACAAGGGCAGGTTGTTTGCTTTTGATTTGGATGCTAAGCGCCTGGCCACCATGTCGACCCTCCTGCTCCGAGCTGGGGTCACCTGCCAGCAGCTGGCCAACCAGGACTTCCTGAAGGTAGACCCTGACAGCCTGCAGTATAAAGATGTTGAGTATATCCTGCTGGATCCCTCCTGCAGTGGTTCAGGTACAGTATCTCTGTGTGTACATGATTATAGTGCTATCCAGATGTGTCCTGGCTTTACAGGTACAGACACCCCAGGAAATCTATGGTCACAAGATCCATACATCTTTATAAGGTAGTTTTGATGCTTACTGGCCCTGCTTCCTCACTGCTCCACCAGTGTCTGG